ATATTGGAGAATCCTCAGCACATCATCAGCTGTGTTCGCTTACAATTATAGAAACAGCTCAGGCAGTGCTTTTGTATTTGTTTTCTTCAACACATACACAGCACATGACATGTTGATGCATTTTACCAAAATGCTTTATTTAGTTGGGAAATTACTTGATTGTTAACCCGTTGTGTAAACAACCCGCACAAAAATATATATTTTTTAAACAGGTGGCCGTTTAGTAATTAAATACTGCATATTACAAATCACCTGGGAATGTGTCCAATGATCTCTTCAGGTCTCGGTCGGAATCCTGGATGGTTGCCGGTATCATAAGCAGCTGCGGAACTACTTTGTCAGCCGAGGACAGTACAGCAAAATGCCCAGACACGCTATGCTCCCTGCTTTCACCAACCCGCACTGACCAGCGTGGTGAAGTATGATGAAATAACCCCCAAATCCAGCACCGCATGGGGAGGCCCTCATCCAGCAGTTAACGGTTGCCAGTCTGAATTTCTGCACATCCTTATTTAATGTCAACTTCATTCACCACTAAATGGCAGTGAGTACCATGGCACCATCCTTAGTGGACAAGTTTGATATAAATTTCGATTTAAAGCTTTCGTGACTGCAAGGATTCATCTTCTTTGTTTCTTTCGGTAAAGTCACGTAGAATGAGAATAAAACAATAAAATAAAATAACAATAAAATTCTCACGACGTTTCGGCCACAACACAAGCAGCCTTCTTCAGGTGAAAACAGAACTGTCGGGACGACAGAGCTTCAAATTGATATCATTGATATCAACTGATATCAATGATATAATTCATCAAATACATTCAACCATTTGGCCTTGCAGCTCAACACAGACGCACACGGTGTGGTTTACTTGCGGTCAGCCAGTGGAAGCTCTTCATAAAATCAACAGGCAATGTCATCTTCTTACAGCAACAACTCGCTTACATGATTAAAAGATAATGGTGCAGCCCTGATATTTCTTGTTCACACCACTCCTGGCGAAAGTAGCTGCACGAGTGGGACCTCTATAGAGAGCCACTGTCGAGGCAATTTGTTCCTTCTCTTCCACAGAGATCTTGGAACAATTGGAAGTGCCAACAATTTTCTCTGTCACACTTGATCTGTCGATTGACTTTGGTCTACTCATTTGGTCCTGGGTGGACAGGTGGAGAAGATTGAAGGATATACGTTCTTCAATGTTTCAACTGCCATGCCAGGGCATGAAATCGAACCAATGACCTCTGAATTGCAAGTACAGCGTGATAACCATTACACCATGGCAACATTCCAAGATAATGTAAATTGATGAGAAATGCAGCTGCCAAATTCACCACGAGGCATCTGCTGGGCTTAAGTGAACGGATTAACACTGCTTCACCGTACATATTCTAAGACAAGCACTAGGCATGTAAGAATGTATCCATTCATTGATTAAAATGTATCATTAACGTTCCAGATACGTGCGTCAAATTGCACGTGTGGGAATCGATTATATACAATTCCTGTAAATTATATGCAAATTTTATTTCAATGTTCAATTTTGGATTATGGAGCAAACAAAACTGTGCAAATGAGACATAAACAAATAGGAATACAAACGAGATGACAATAATAAGACGCAAATTCCACCCCATGAATTAAATTACCCAAACTTCTGAAAAAGACTCAAATAGGCTAGGGGGATGGGGGAAGAGAATTGCATTTGCCTGGGCAAACAATCTTTATGGAAGACATTTGAAGAAAATAACCGTCAGAATGCAAGCAAGTAAAAACCATTTTCAAATGAAGTGCAATTTTATTCAACAAAAACGCACCATTCTGACAGAAGATAATATGGCGGTAATAATAATAGTGTAACATTCTATGCAGTGCTTGCAACACAGTACGCAATACAATGTGTTAACACATCCAAAGCATTACCATCCAACAGACTTGTCATTAGATGGCGTTGCTGCATGCTTCGCATTAAATGTGTTTGACAACCATTAGGGGCATTAATGATTTAAGTGAATTTTAAATGCACATAAAAAGCCCATATCACACATGACCTTTGTCTGCACGAAAACAACATGGAAGGTGGCTTGTAATGTAAATAAATTAATTTATTCCAGCGTTCAAGGACAGTATTGTCCCATGCCAGCCTGTAGAATTGCTAACTGCCATTTTCATCTCGCTACATATTCGAGGATGCCAACATTCTCAGCGCACAAATTCCACATTTTGTGGATAAATCCGATGAACAACCTTTTTTCCCTCAAATTGGTTTACCAGTGTAGTTTTAAACCCGGGTTTTTTGGAACAAAATAACATGACAAAAGGTATGTCGTATCTGCGAAGTATTGTCAAAAATGAACGTGAACTGAAAATCACATTACAGGGTTGTAATGATGCATCGACTTGAGAATCGAGTCCTAAAGCTATGAATGCCTGCATCGAATCGCGTGTGTAAATATCAATATTTCACGACTGCACTAGCGTGTGTGTGTGGTATGTAATTGGATTCCCGTGACCTCTGCAGCTGCTACACTCACCATAACGTTAAACTCAAATGTGATTTTTAAATTCAATCACAACCCTGAACCATGACAATTCTCAAGACTGTTTAGTAGGAGGCTGCTGCCAAGTGTATGTAGTAGGGGGTGTTGTTGCGGTCATGCCAAATGATTAATTTGCAATAAAAAAAGTTGCATTGTGTGATGTTTTTTTTTTTAGCTATGTGCGGAAACCAGAGAACCTAGAGGAAACGCATACAGAACAGGGGAGGAACAAATTTTGATTTAAAGCTTTCGTGACTGCAGAGATTCACATTCTCGGTTCTTTCGGTAAAGTCACGTAGAAGGGAAACAATAAAATAATAAAAAAGATAAAACAATAAAATTGTATTGTTTTATATTTTTATTATTTTACCGAAAGAACCAAGAATATGAACAGGGAAAAGAACATACAAACTCGACGCAAAAAGGGACCCGAGTCAGAGATTGAACCCAGGCCCTTTTTGCTGCGAGGTGTCAGTGTTACCACTGCGCCACCCTGCTGCATGTGTTACACAGTGTGGAGTGGGAGTGTAGCGGTTAGCGCGCTGCGCAATGAACCCCGCGACCCAGTTTCGTAACCAACTCACGGCCAACACCAGTGATGAATAGCTGAACTGGTACTGGGCCTTCGCTAGGTCGACTCGACCTCCAATGAGTACCTGGTGCAGTGTGTAAACATCGCCACTGGGGAGACAAAGGTGGTCGGGCATGATGCTGGCCACCTACCCCTTCGTGTACCGTGCCGGTCTTCATAGATGCTTGCTGACAACACTTGCCCCAACAGTCTGTTAAGTTTATACGGAGGATCTTTGTATTTGTCTGTGTTTATTGTACGTAAATACATGTACAAACATTCAGTGCTATGAACATGTGGCACGTAAATGCACAGATATGAAGGATCATCAGGAAAAGTAGTTGCAAATTCCCTGTGCCAGGTGTTTGTGGATTGTAGGGTTACTGTGAATAAGCTGACGATATAAGTACTCATTAATTATGTATCTCTCTTGGCCTGTGTCTCTAGTGAAACCAGGAGCACGCAGCTCCACCTCAAACTGCTGGAGTCCAGCCACTGACCCCAATTAATTATATGCCAGGAGCTGTCATGCAATGGCACTTTAAGCACATTATTTTTTGGAAAATGAGGCCAAACATTTTTGTTGTTTCAGATTTATCCAAAAGTAAAACGTCATGAAAAACGTCGCGTTGCATCACATCAGTGATTTTTCTCACCAAAAGTGGTTGCCGTGGTGTAACTTTTGTCAGCATGAAGACACGCCAAATTATTAAATTATTAACGTGTCGAAAACAATCTAAATCGGAAACATCCCTTCCACAGATATCTATCCATCACTGCAAGCATCTTACCCGCACCAATCGGGTACACAGAGGGGATTTTTACTTATTCATTTATTTGAAACACTGTGCCCTGCGTTGCAACTTTTGGCATACGGGAGGAAGCTGAAGTATCAGACAAAAACTCACGCATACAAAGGGATACAACTAACATATCCACACTGTTTAAGAACCGAATGCTGTACTGCCATCATTTGGCGACCTCGCAACGCAAGCTTACAACACCTGATCATTTGCTGGTAGCCTCCCATCCAATGACTAATCAGGCTCAACGGTGCTTAGCTTGTGTAACACACTGTTCTCACACAGGACATGGAAGCATTTTACATCGAGTAGGCAGAGAAGGCAACGACAACAGGCATTTACATGAAAATAAAACAATTATTTTCCACTAACTTGGTTGTTTATATTACCAAATTATGTCAAGTATGCTATTTGGCTATATTAACCACTAGCAATAAATAAGTGGTGTCACCAAAGGAGAGAACAGTTTTTTTGTAAAGTCACTGCGTTCAGTGTGAGTTATCTACTCTGTATTAAGACTTGAGAAACTATATTGGCTACTTACGATGCGAAAGAAGTTCAACATACATACATACAAATATACCCCACAAGATCCATCAGGCCATTGTATAACTGCATCACTCATCTAAGATCTGTTACACAGGGTGGCTGAGTTTAACACGTAGGCTTTCGCGACCAATATTATTCATAATAAAGGTTTTTGGGTTAGATCGCGTTATTTATAAGTGCGTCGCAACCCTCCACCACCCGACATGGCCAGAAATTAGAAGTGGCGGAGAGGGGGAGTTATTGTAATTATATGATATAATCTGCATATGATTGGGTATAGTGTTTGGGTTCAGTTATTAAATAATACACATTACTATTACTAATCTACAACTGATTTCTGATCACAACAATTAACTGACTACTAATCTATTATATAATTACAATAACCCCCCTCTCCGCCTCTGATTGGGTTAAATGATGACGTCACCGTGCTGCTCTATTTAAGACCGGGAGCAAGTGGAGGGCTTCACCATTCTGGCGAATTGCCCGATGATGCTGGATGTAATTACCAGCGAAACGTCGTACTCAAAAATAGTAAATGTTGTGGATTCACTCTTCAACACACCGGTGGGCTAAAGTAGTAAACTATTTGTCTTTTGTCAACGTGACACTTTTTTTTTACTGATTGGTTATGTAGGGTGGCTTAGTTGTGTAGTGCTGTGTTCGCTTTCAATGCCCTGGTTAAGGTAACAAGCAAAAGAGACATACAAAAACAAGTAAATAGCTAAAAAGCTTAAGACAATTTGTTAAAAAAACACAATTGGCTAGAGATGTGAAACAACAATATAATTGATTTAATTCCCTGTATATAATTTAAATCTGTTCAATATTTTTGGAGCCTCGATAGCACCGTGTTCAGCATCACACCCATGTTACTTGCGAATGACGCTCTCCTGGTATCTTGAGCTCTCACCTGGTTAAATAACCATGAACTCGCCTAATAGACAGTGCCGTATTGTTTGGTTGCAAGAAAAAAACTCCACAAAAAACATTTACCGCAGGTTTGTGAAGCAGCGATCCAAAGTACAAACTATGAAGATAACCACCGCCTGATGGAATGCAGCAAAGTTGGCAGTCGCGCTAAGACTCAATAGCCTGGCTCTTTGGTTTTGACTTTGGCAAGCAACAACAGAAAATGCAGACGTTGTGAAACGGGCACCCCATCAGCCCATGGGGCCACTCCCGTGCACGCTCAAATGCGATGATTGCAGCAAAACGGTCCTCGCAATTTTTTCCGGAACGTAAAATGTGGAATACATTTAAAAACATAGGCACTCAAAGAGAGTAGATACAGATCCGAGTACAAAAAAAAAATCCCAGAATCCAAATAATTATTTAAGGACATTCAGATATATATTTTTGTAAAAAAAAGAGGAGACCTTTATATATTCCTATAGAAAGAAAAAAATATTCCAACAGTCATGTGTCGTGGAACTCCGTTAGACAATGCCGAGCCACACTGACGCGACCGTCGGATGGATAACAACATCAAAACGTGTAAAGTTACAGTCTTGTCTCTCACCACCCCATTCAGCCATAGGACGTGAACCCATTCGGCCTCGTGATGAAAATCTTCGCTCGTGAAGCCAACGTAGAGCTCTTCTGGTGAATTACAGTGCGAGAGCCGTTTTATCATTCGGCAAAATAAAATATCTGGCTGCGTGCTGCTCTTCTTCATACGCTAAAGAATGTTCGGCATCTGTGCTGCAAAAGGCTTGGTCATGCAACAACAGTCGCGTTGCTCCTTTATGAGTTCCATTCACTTTGATGCAAAAAAAAAGTTATCATATCACTTAAAGCAAACAGCAATAGAGTTTGGGAAGGGTTATCAGACTGTCGTTAACCAAGCAGACACATAGCAGCTCCAGTTTAGCGACACATTTTCCCAAATATTAATGATAAATGTTTTATCCGCTTTACGGCGCTGTATATTGTGTTTAGGAACTTAGAAAATTACCGAAGGAACCTTTTTCGTGTGTTATTTATTGTATACTGTTTATAGCTTATATACAAATAACATGCATAACACACCTTTGAAAAGTATGCCCTTTGCATATATATACCATGCATATTTACTGGAAGTATGCAATTTGTCTTGACATGCCATGCTCATGGCTGTGCTTTTATCTGAATTATGTAACTGGATACACAAGTGCATCAAATAAATATTTCACTGGTTAATGTATTATTTGGCAAGTGTCTATTATTTGGGAATTACCAAACAGAATATGAATTTAAGTTAGACACTTTTAGAGGTGAAGGATTTCAGGAAAGGTTTCATACACGTAAAAAAAAAACGTCTCCGGTAATATTTAGATAATTTTAAAAGTTTCTCGCAATTGGACGATATTTACTTTGTAATCTTCTCTGCAATGCCGCTAATGTTTATTTTGAGCTTTGTAATAATATGGTCGATTTGCTTCTCGTTTGCTGTATCCCCAGTTAATATTTACTTAAAACCTTTAAAGCAAACGTGTCATTCAATCACACTTCGTCATTGAGAGCCCTTTTCTGAGGTCCCACTAACGGAACAAGGAGACCCAGCCTCAACGAGTGACGCAAAAAAGAAAATCCCTTCACGAAAGTTTCCCACCATTGTCGGCACAATTCACATCCGCACAAACAATGTTATCTCCTGACGAGAAAGAAGGCAGTGTAACGATAATCTTCACCTTCTCGTTGCCCGTATTGCCGACGTAATCTTGCGGGGCGTTGATGATTGGGGCACCGGCGGCGGCACCGGCGGCGGCGGCGGGCACCATCATCCCGTCGGAACCCCTGGCCCTGGCCAAGCTGGAACCTCTCTGCAGCGTGGGCGAGGGCTTTCTGTTGGTGAGCCGGTTCCTGAACGCGCGCTGGATCTTGATGGCCGCCAGCTCCTCCTGCCAGCGCCTCAGCGTGCTCGTGATGGGTGTGAGCGTGCCGTTACCGGAGCCGCTGTCCATGAAGCGCTCCTCCATCTGCAGGCGCATCGCGTCCATGCCTTCGCCCTCCCCCAGCACGCGCTTGGTGAGAGAAAACAGAACCTCCAGGCAGTGGATGCGGTCACCGGCCACGATGGGCAGGTCGAGGGCGGCGATCGCCAGATGGTTGGGTTTGGGCACGCGTAGCGGATCATCCAGAGAGTCCAGAAAGACAGAGAGATCTTTGTAGGCTATGAACTGCGTCACCGTGGGGTCGAACTTGCCCCACACCTCATAGAAGGCCTCGAAGTCGTCCTCGCTCAGGGGCTCGGTGCTCTCCTGCGTGGCGATGGCGAAGTTCTCGAGGATGACGGCGATGTACATGTTGACGACGATGAGGAAGGAGATGATGATGTAGCTGACGTAGAACGCCACGCCGAAGGAGGTGTTGCCGCAGTTGCTCTCGACTGACGTGCCCGGGTGCTTGAAGGTGCGGTCGCAGTTGAGCGGGAACGTCGGCGCCAGCAGCCCGTCCCAGCCGGCCGACGTCGTGATCTGGAAGAGGCAAAGCATGGCCCCGCCAAACGTCTCGAAGTTGAACATGTCGTTGATGCCGGCCTTGTGCTGCAGGTATCCGAAGTTGGACATGCCGAAGATGGAGAAGATGTACATGACGAGGAAGAGGAGCAGGCCGATGTTGAAGAGCGCCGGCAGCGACATGAGCAGCGCCAGCAGGAGGGTGCGGATCCCCTGTGCGCCGCGGACCAGACGGAGCACGCGCCCGATCCGGGCGAGCCGAACCACGCGGATGAGCGTGGGCTCAAAGAAAAAATTCTTCATGGTCTCGGCAAGCCCCATTCCTGAAAGGGTGACCCCCAACACAAAACACATCGCAGCTGTGTATACGAGATGGCTGGTCGGGAGGCATTCACTCGCTTGCTGTCAGCTTCGGTGTGAAACTGGTCAAAACAAAGGGTGCTGGAGAAGTGAGTTATTAAACGTGTCATGCTTCTAGATAAAAAAAAAAACGTTTAATTGGTGCACGCTTTAAAAAAAATATAAAGTTCAACAATTTAACCCCCATTTGTGTTGTTTACCTTGGGGGAGAGTTGATGGTCTAAGCAGACTTTCAACCAAGATTAAAGAGTACAAACTTCCAGATTCTCATTCAGGTACTGTGCTGTTGCCAGAATTTGTACTCCGTGTTGAAGTGAAATGTTGCTTCATTGGCGCAATTGATACATAATGCAGGGTAAAATATTTTAATGACATTTGATAGTATTATCATCCAAGCCGTTGAACAGTTTATCCCAACTGAATCACATTGTAGGACTTGTTTTGATTTTGTGCCAAAGCACGACCAATTCAGGTTTCCAACTCCCTTCCTGCCCTCCCCCAAGAAATTAATGGCACCTCATACTTAATTTACATCATCACATTGCTCAGAATGCAAAATGAAATGAGGAAAATGTGAACTACTTTCAAAGAGTCGATGAGCAGGGCACATTACAACCACAGTGATTCCTCTTTGGTTCTTTCGGTAAAGTCACGTAGAAAGAAAATAAATTAAATAATAGAAAACGTCTCGATTGCAACACAAGCAATCGTCATCAGGTAGAACTAAATGTGAGAGACAAAACACAGACACGGAGACGCACGGACAGACACACAAGCAGAGAGACTTTACCGAAAGAACCAAAGAGTAATTCCTGCAGTCAAGAAAGCATCAAATCACAGTGATTTCATTACGGAAACGTTGGGAAGTGGCAGATTACTAAATTGCAAGACGCGTTCTCCACTTGGTGTGGAGTGCATGGTGGTCGGTCGGTACATTTGCACTGACTGGTGATTTACGAGGACGATTAGATTATCCCCAAAACACAAAAGAGACGATGTCAAACACCCAAGGGCTCTTTGAGCCACGCAAAAAACTCAAGACATTTTACTGCCATTTCCATTGCATTGGCATGTTAAAGTGATAACAGCAATAATGTATAGCCTTTTTGTCAATACACTGCTGGACGATGGCCTCCCCAAGATGTGTTTGCAGTGCGAGTTATTTTGACAACTTCACAACGCTAGTCAGCGAAGGCCCGGTAAGACGGCGAGTTTGGATGGGGTGGCCAGGACCGGTGAACAGGAAATTTGCGCTCAGGCTTTGTAGCAGCGATACAGAACTGCATTACAGATAGTGTTACGAAACGGTGACAATTGGAGTCTGCATAACCAAATCGTAATCCATTTCCTAAATTGGAAAACATATAAGAAAACCGTTTTAACCACAATCAAATCAATTGCCTTAAATGTAAAGTGCAGTTGTGACGTGTAAAGGAATGCAACAGATGTTTTTGGGGCCTTTTTATGATTGCTCATCACAATTTACAACTGGATGACGTTCCAAAAAAAAAAACTAACGTGAATAGCTATCAAAAACACTTGATAGCGTGCGAACATTGAGGTCAACCGTTGCCAATTGTGCATCCTTATAATCTTCCAAATTAATTGGTACACGTCGAGCAATTAAAGAGGAAAGGGTATATCATATAAACTGGTTTAATTCACAGCTACTGCTGTGCAAATCAATCCCGTTCTCGTGGTCTACATTTCAGTCTTCACCCAAGGCCGACCAAATCAATTTCTCCATCTGAAGGTTTTTTTTCTTTCTCTTGGCAGTGCATTGCAGCGTCTCACAACATTAGCGTCCGATTGTCGTAAATAATACATCGTACACGGGAAAAAAAAAACACTCAAAAGAGGCCAACCATCTCCTCACCCACAAAGGACATGACGATGACGACAATGTCGAAAATGTTCCACGCAAACTTGAAGTAGTAATGTCGCAGGGCAAAGAGCTTGAGCAGGCACTCGGCGCTGAACATCGCGATGAAGATGATGTTGATGTAGTGGAGGGCGTTCTCCATGTCCTCGCTCTGGCTGTCCGTCTCGATCATCATGACCAGCATATTAAGGCAAATGAGCGCCATGATGGTCACGTCAAAGGCCTGGGTGCCCACCAGGTCGTAGGCAAGATTTTGTAGCTTATTCTGCGCGCCGAATGGACACCACACGAGACGGGAGCATTGATATTTCAGGATTTGTCCCCGCTGTTCTGTGTTTTTTAAAATATTATCTCTGTTACAATAAGGTAGAGTCCTGGTCAATGACCAGATCAGGTGTCACCAATCCAAGTGTAGTTTGAACCCCATGCTGGCGAATACACTAGAAAAAAATAATTTTACTTTCCAATGCTGAAATAACCCAGAGCATGTTGTCATGTTTAAATTATAACCTCTTTTTTGGGAAGAAAAAATAACACAGCTGTCATTACAAATATGTTGACGCATTGAGCGAGTATATCTTTAAAAAATAATAAGTGTATGCAGAAAGGTGTCGTCGATGCATCCTTGCGAGCGACTGGAGTTCAGTAAATACATCTGCATTAAATAGCTTTCGCAATACTGGAAGGTTACCATAAATGAGCCTCACATTTAGCGGTGGCGCCTACTAATGAAAAGGAGGAGACTGGTACTTACATGCGGCCTAGGCACAGGCTTTTGTGGTTTCTTTGAGCGGAGTTTCTTCATTGCACTGTGGAATTTCCTTTGTTCTTCTGTCAAGAATATATCTTCCCCTCCTATGTAATGCACCAAAACATGTGGCATTCATGTTGTACATTTATCTCCTCTCACTGCAATTGACAAAAATGTGCATCTGCCTACCGTGATGTTAGGCCAATAAATAACATAACAGAAATATGAACTAATGACTTGTGAAAATAAAATACTGTCATTATGTAAATAAAGTTGTAAATTGGTCCACTTAAAACTGAAAGTGTGAATGTAATATGGCGGGTTTTAAATAACAAACATGTATTATATGTAATGTTCTCAATTAATGGTGGATTTAATGCTTGGAGTCGTAAATACAGCTTTTCACATTACATTATTTCCAGTAACCATGAACATCCACAAAATCGACCACACGTCTGGTGAGTCTAGCATGCACGCAAAGCAAAACATTCATGTTCAACATATGGAAATGTGAACGTTGATGCTTGTGGAAGAAAACAAGATGTGAAGATACCTATCTTTTTCTTTTGCTGGTTGAAGTTATCAATGATGACACCAATGAAAAGGTTGAGGATGAAAAATGCTCCAAAAGTAATGAAGAAGACAAAGAAACCGTAACTGTATTTGTTTTCCTCAAACTTAGGCTGTTCATCGTACTGTGCGGAACGAGACATTGAGATCAAGGTTATGAAATGTTGCACTGACAGTTACCACATATCAACACACATATAAATTAACCTTATGGTATGGGACCCCGGGGTACCATAAGCCCCGGTTCTCGCATAAACATATTATTATGTAAATAAACACTTTGCTCTTTTTCACCAATGGGTTTGAAGGATGGTGGCAAGTGTTGTTTTGTTAAACTATGCCTTTAAAACTGAAAACTACTTAAATTTCGATTTAAAGCTTTCGTGACTGCAAGGATTCATCTTCTTTGGTTCTTTCGGTAAAGTCACGTAGAACTGTCGTCCCGACAGTTCTGTTCTTTCACCTGATGAAGGCTACTTGTGTTGTGGCTGAAACGTCGTGAGAATTTTATTGTCTTATTTTATTATTTTATTCTCATTCTACGTGACTTTACCGTAAGAACCAAAGATGAAAACTACTTTCCTGCAGTAGCTCTATTTAAATACAGTATCGAAAAAATAATTTACACCCCTCTTGTCAATCATCGTGTTTCTCAGTGTGGATTTGTGAACACACTTTGTAAACAGTACATAAAATAGTACACGTTTTAAATGCGCTGTTCATATTGTAACAAGCGTTTATACCAATGTTACTCTACAGAATCGTGGGTTATCGCTCCTCGTATCCGCATTGATACGAGCGGTATGTGGGGACTATGGCTTAACCGCAAAAAAAAATATCTGCACAGATGCATACGGACAAGAGACGTATTATAATCAAACAGGAGAAATTAACGGCGAAACGCATCTCATCTGTTAAATATCTGCAGGTAATAGGACTGTCATCGATTGACACTGGCTGCAGACATTGGTAGGTGACAAATAATAATGAAGATAAGAGCAGTTTCACTGTATTATGCATACTGTTATGACAAATAAAGGACTTAAGTCGTGTAGGCAGTTTGGGCAGCTTTGGATAAGACTTGTTATGATCCTGCCCATACCCGAGCATGGAGTGCATTCGCTTGTTCAGCTCTTCTACGTATTCGTCCTTGCTGCGCTTGGACACGACACGACAACAGAACGATCCGCGCCGGGTGGGTCGCGGCGTTTACGTGCGCGGTGGGACGGAGTCGCCAAAAATAAATAAATTAATTTGTACTTTGCCTTTCGTTTATTCGGGACCCCGGGGTCCTGTCATAAGGTTCAAATACTGAACTACGGATAAAAACGTTCGCATCGTCAAGGGCTGTTAAGCATCTCCATGAGAAATGTAACGCATGCGTATCAACACGGCCTTTAATATCTCGTGAAATATTTCCCAGGTTGCTGTTCGAATTTGGAAGGAACGTGACGAAGAAGCACAGCCATAACGTCAGGTCTGCCAAAAGTCGTGTGCCGGGTGAGGAAACATTGTCCAGGCCACCGACACGGGCAGACCCAGTGAAATTAAGCCCTGAAATTAACATATACCGTAATTTAAACATACGTAGTTTAAGCATCATCCAGTGATTGGTAAGTGGCTCTGTAGTGAATCGAAATGTATCACGACTGGTCATAGAGGCTGCTTCAGGTGCAAACATTGGGGTCAAAAGTCATTTTATGCACAACAGACACAGGATTTATAGAAAATGACTTATCTTCTTGGTGGCATCAACTGCAGCAGACATGATGTCTATCCACCCCTTGAAAGTAGCCTACGTATGCAAGAGCAAACGCAGAAAGAAACACGCGCACGCATAGGTAAGTTGATCAGTCGCTCCCACGCCACGTACGTGGGGCATTTCTCTTCTGTCAGCGCTGCTGTCAATGTCCTCAGAAGGTTGGGGAAATTGTATCAAGAGAGAATTAACATTTTAAAGGATGAAAAATGAGGCGTTCTTTTTTTTTCTTCTTCCGTACTGTAAGTCGTGCTAATTCACGGGGCTCTCTCTCTACGTGGAGGCAGATTTGAAAAAATGCGAGTAGCATCGAATGTTCCGTATTATCTGAGAAAATTTACTTGATTTCAATACCACCGCCAGAGCGAGACTTAAATAAACAACTGCAGTGGATGTTAGGGTTATGATTTAGTGTAGAGCGATGGAGAGGGGAGTGTGTACATATGCTATCGAACCCTAGGCATGACTGTGGGTGAGGACATTAACACAGAGATGTTTAAGTTGCATGCGTTTCAGCCCCGACCAATGCTAACCCGCCAATGCAGGAACATTGTACGTCGCTTTGCCAATCTCCAACCCCCACCATTAGGCAGACACATTAACAGACGCGAAGCAAACGATAGAAAATGCACGCTATCCACAGCAAACACTCCTCATCCAGGTGCAAACACTCCTCACCCACATGCAAACACTCCTCACCCATGTGCAAACACTCCTCACCCACGTGCAAACACTCCTCACCCACATGCAAACACTCCTCGCCCATGTGCAAACACTCCTCACCCACGTGCAAACACTCCTCATCCACGTGGAAACACTCCTCACCCACGTGCAAACACTCCTCACCCACGTGCAAACACTCCTCATCCACGTGCAACCACTCCTCATCCACGTGCAACCACTCCTCACCCACGTGTAAACACTCCTCACGTGCAAACACTCTTCATTCACGTGTAAACACTCCTCACTCACGTGCAAACACTCCTCATCCACGTGGAAACACTCCTCACTCACGTGCAAACACTCCTCACCCACGTGTAAACACTCCTCACTCACGTGCAAACACTCCTCACCCACGTGGAAACACTCCTCACTCACGTGCAAACACTCCTCATCCACGTGGAAACACTCCTCACTCACGTGCAAACACTCCTCATTCACGTGTAAACACTCCTCACTCACGTGCAAACACTCCTCATCCACGTGGAAACACTCCTCACTCACGTGCAAACGCTCCTCACCCACGTGCAAACACTCCTCACCCACGTGCAAACACTCCTCACCCACGTGGAAATACTCCTCACTCACGTGCAAACACTCCTCACCCACGTGCAAACACTCCTCACCCACGTGTAAACACTCTTCACCCACGTGCAAACACTCCTCACCCACGTGCAAACACTCCTCACCCACGTGCAAACACTCCTCACCCACGTGCAAACACTCCTCACCCACGTGTAAACACTCCTCACTCACGTGCAAACACTCCTCATCCACGTGGAAACACTCCTCACCCACGTGCAAACACTCCTCACTCACGTGCAAACACTCCTCATTCACGTGTAAACACTCCTCACTCACGTGCAAACACTCCTCACTCACGTGCAAACACTCCTCATTCACGTGTAAACACTCCTCACTCACGTGCAAACACTCCTCACCCACGTGTAAACACTCCTCACTCACGTGCAAACACTCCTCATCCACGTGGAAACACTCCTCACTCACGTGTAAACACTCCTCACTCACGTGCAAACACTCCTCACTCACGTGTAAACACTCCTCACTCACGTGCAAACACTCCTCATCCACGTGGAAACACTCCTCACTCACGTGCAAACACTCCTCACCCACATGCAAATGCACCCTATGACCCCCCCCCCCCCCCCCAATCGCTTTGCTATAGCTGGGCATAAACGAGCAATCATGCCTCCCATTGTAAACACATTGATTTGGTGATTGTACTGCATTGGCAGTCGAGCACAAGCACAAATAACAAAACATTTTTCAATAACACTGCATTAAATGTAAAAAAAGACATGTAATTAGGTGACATTTGGGACAATGGTCCTGCAAAATACTTAAAGAGAAGCCAGAGAGAGCGAGAGCGAGTAAGAGCAGGAGAATGCAACTGTCAAGCCCCCAGAGTGTAAAGTGCACTTCATATCTCTTGTCAGCTCTCTGGCCTCGCCATAGCTCAGGAATCGAACTCTACAGTCACCTGGCCATAGGGCATTGCGCAAACCACTGCTGCATCTAATTGGACAATGAGAACGCACACATTCTCACGGGGTGACGTGTGCCATGTGCCAACGACCTCTTAAAAGCGAGCCGCCAATACAAGCCGGCCCACACTGAGCGGTGCAAGCCTGCTTCAAAGTGGGCTGCATGGGGGGGACACCGCACACGTTGGCCCACGCCAGACGTTGGCCCCACGACAGACGTTGGCCCACGACAGACGTTGGGCCACGCCAGACGTTGGCCCACGCCAGACGTTGGCCCACGCCAGACGTTGGCCCACGCCAGACGTTGGCCCACGCCAGACGTTGGCCCACGACAGACGTTGGCCCACGACAGACGTTGGCCCACGACAGACGTTGGCCCACGACAGACGTTGGGCCACGACAGACGTTGGGCCACGCCAGACGTTCGCCCACGCCAGACTCGCCACAACAGCCGTGCTGCCTCATGGGGGTCAATTAGAAAGGGAGGCGCGTGGGCAGCTGCATTTATCCGAGGTCAATTTGAGCGCCGAGTGCTGTTTAAAATATAAATATTTGCCGAGGATAGCACAACCTAACCACAGGAATACGTTAACCCCTTGTTTTGTTAAAAAAAAAAATAAACAGTGTGATCACTTCCTTCCAGCTGCAAAGGGAGGGTGAGGGGCAGAGGGAGGGAAGGGCAGAACTCTTTAAGCATTTGGATAAGGGACGACCAAATGCTGGACCGTTCCTGAAAACAGCGTGGCACACCTCAGGGTCTGCTTTTCCAATGGTTGTGGAAATGCTGAACAAGGCATGCACGAATAGAAAAAAGTGATCATATATGTACACATGAATGAAGAAACATTTTGTGCAGAATGCATCAACTTACAACTTGCAGCAAGGCCAGGTACCCCGTGGCCACGTTGTCGAAATTAACGGGCATGTTAACCCAATCCTGCGAGGCATTCACGTCGCATTCATTCTTGTTTCTGACGACCGAGCTGTTACAAATCTTCATGTCGGTCTTGTTGACGCACTTGTAGAATTTCCCCTTGAAGAGGTCGACGCCCATGATGCTGAAGATGAGCCAGAAGATGAGGCACACGAGGAGGACGTTGACGATGGACGGGAATGCCCCGATCAGCGCGTTCACCACGACCTGGATGCGCGCGCGCCCAGCGGCAACGCCAGGAGGGAAGAGGAGCAAGCCGAGTGGCAGGTGGCAGGTTAGAAGGCTCCATTATCTCTCTCTAGCCCCTCCAGGGAAATGGTTAACTTTTCTCTGCGCAATAAACCCCGCCACCCACACCTGGGCCTGCCACGGCAGAATGCGTCAAACAGCGGCGCAGGTGCGGGTGTTAATTGTGGAGCGCACAGCACTCTTTTCGGTCGGCGGTATAAACTTGGGCGATAATTTTTTTGCGAATGGCTTCGAATGTAAATATTAATGGGAACTTTCATGAGCAAATTTCACCGCTGAGCTGTTATTTGTTGGCATAAAAATGTCAAGTTACATTTTTTTCTTTTTTAACCCAGGTGGGAACTCAAGAGATAAGCTCACCAAGAAGCAAAATAAAAGTTACAACAATGAAACGAAACAATACGAATGCAAAATCAACAAAATAGAAAGAAAAAATACCGTACAAAGCATCAATATTATTTTCCTGTAACAAATGGTGGCTATGATACATTACTTGTAAACACCGTTAAAATTGTATTATTAGGTCAAATGAACATTTGGGTGATTATGACACTAGTATGTAAATAGTACCACCTGGTTTAGCTACAGCACCATTTTCTGCATCTCCAGCAGCACGTGGCATGCATTCATCAGGGAACTGTCAGCACTGACCCAGGTAAAATGTAAAATGTAAGGGACTTTAATACATAAAGATAAAAAATACGCTATCCAGTGATGCAAATCTGACGTTTTGTGCGCACACAGCATACCCTCATGCCCTCAAATCTTGATAAGGCCCTGAGTGGTCTGAGAGCCCGGACGGTCCTCAGAGCTTTGATGGCACTGAGCTGATCGTACTTGAGCAACGTGGCAACGAGCGATGTCACGGACACCTGCGCACGACGGGAAAGTGTGTTCAGCCGAGAAGGGACATCACCGACGGGTCGAGTGCCCGTATTCTATGGCTGCGGCAACAATTGCGCGGGCATAAATTGTCCGCAAACATCCGCTCCGCCGCAGAGAAAAAAAATGAATTAGGTCATGGGATGTACATGTCCGGTAAATGCATCCTGCATATTTTCACTCGCTTCCACTGTGCCTTCAGGGTGGCATACCGAGCACAGTGGTGCCTTCACAGCAAGAAGGACCCTCGTTCGAATCCTGACTTGGGTACCTCTCTGTGTAAAGTTTGTATATGTTCTCCCCTTGTTCTGCATGGGTTTTCTCTGGGTTCTCTGGTTTCCTCCCATAGCTAAAGACATGCGATGTAATTGGTGTTGGCCAAACATCCCCAATGCTGTACCATCTTAAGAATATTTGGATTCGGTGTGGATTTCTTGGGTAAATAAGTAATATCTTCTTTGGTTCTTTCGGTAAAGTCACGTAGAATGAGAATAAAATAATAAATTGATAAAATAACACAATAATATTCTCACGACGTTTCGGCCACAACACAAGCGGCCTTCATCAGGTGAAGGGACGAGACTGTCTGGTAGGACAGCGCACTCCAGCGCCTGATGAAGGCCGCTTGTGTTGTGGCCGAAACGTCGTGAGAATATTATTGTGTTATTTTATTTTATCAATTTATTATTTTATTCTCATTCTACGTGACTTTACCGAAAGAACCAAAGAAGATGAATCATTGCAGTCACGAAAGCTTTAAATCGAAATTTAAATAAGTAATAATTAAACGAAATTGGCAAGCACATTCAAATAGCCATATAGGTACTTAGTGTTTGAAAGAACTCCGTGCAAATCCAAAGGAAATCAAGAGAAGAATTACTGTTCCATACACAATTTAATTTACACACAGGTGAACTGACTGATTTCGCAACGTTCAATTTTCCCTTTTCAGCTCGCCGCATCAGTCACTGGGTTGCCATTGGGGTAGTCGCAGGATCATCTCAACTTATTTTCGTGAAAATGTCTTGCTTTTATGCCGATACATTGTGTAAGTTATCAATTTTCGACGTGGAATTGTTTCCCTCCTGGCCCCCCTGGGCATCGTGTATGCTCCTTCAACGGAGGAGAAAAAGCAAAGCGACGCAAACTCTCTCCTGAAGCCCTCTCACCGCGAGCAGACCCCGGCACTGGCGTCTAACCCCTGTGCGTATCGTCGTGCGCGTGAAACAGAATCTCACCTTAATAGTACCGCGTGCTCTCTGTGCAACATCCTGATACAAGTGTGCATTCAGAATATGTACTCTTTGGTTCTTCTGGTAAAGTCACGTAGGTAGAAAATATAATAGATCACGACGGTTCGATCGCCACACAAGCAATCGTCCTCGGGTGGGATACTCTTTTCATTGAAGTAGTGTAACAGGAGTGTGCCGAGTGTAAACCTTCTGTATTTTAATGAAATTTATAACGTGTTTTAACTTAAGAACTCATTGTGTGCATCCTGGATGCCCTTATTCCACGTACTTTAAAGGACACGTACATTTGTATCCGTCCGTTGCAAACATTTGAATTGTACAAACCTTTATCAGTCCATTGCTGGATGAAGGCATATTTTGCCGGGGGGGGGGGAGGGGGTTTGTTTGACTATATAATAGAACCTCGGAGATCGAACGCCCCAGAACTCGAACAATTCAGTGATCGAACAAAATTTTCGACCATTTTTTGGCCCCGGACATCGAACAAAAATTCGGAGGTCGAACAACTTGAAAGAACCTGTATGGGCCGAGACGCGTAGCCATGGCGACCGAGACGCGTAGCCATGGCGACCGAGACGCGTAGCCATGGCGACCGAGACGCGTAACCACGGCGACCGAGACGCGTAGCCAGGGCAACCGAGACAAAGGCGAATGACCCAGTTTACGCGTAGCTCTCGCCCAGTGCAGACCCACAAAACATCGTTCTGTTAACTTTTTCCTCACCACCTTCTACTCAAGCCACCCACTCTCCTTACTACAGGTAAAGTGAAGTTCAATGTTCATTTATTCTATTAATTATAACTGTGTTTCTTGTTTTTTGTACGCTTTTATGTACTGTACTGTATTTTAATATTGTAAAATTTGTGTAAAAATGGGCCATGATAGGAGCATCCTTGGGGTGGGGAACCAATTAATGCTATTGTCATTCATTCTTATGGGGAAAATTGATTCGGTGTTCGAACAAATCGGTGTTCGAACACGGTTTTGGAACGAATAAAGTTCGATCTCCGAGGTACCACTGTACTTTACTACGCTGGCCACAGAAAGGCTGGTGAACGGTGGGATGGGGTCCTCTGAATTCTCGCCACTGACGCTCGCCGCGGCTGAAAATCAAACTCGGGTGGCCGAGTTGATTTGAGCAGCGCGTGACCAACTGCACCACTTTATTTAAGAAATACAGCAATTGTAAAGCTGGTGAGCAGCAAGAAGATAAAAACACAGTGCTAGGAGGGGGGGGGGGGGGTTGGGGTGGCTGGTGGGGATAGCAGCACGTACCCCTACGATTAAGAAGTCGAGCCAGCACCACATGTTGGTGAAGTATTTCTGCAATCCGTACGCCAGCCACTTGAGCAGCATCTCCAGGATGAACACGTAGGTGAACACCTTGTCGGCATATTCGAGCACTATCTTTATCGTCTTCCTCTTATCGATGTAGACGTCTTCAAACGCCTACACGGGTCACAAACACACATGCACAAATATATCGCATATAGCCTTCAACAGACCGTTCTGGCAAGTGTTGTTACCTACAAAGGCTGATACGGCCTAATTCATGTAAAATATAATTTAACCCTTTCCACACAAAGGCTTGCAGACACCAGGAGATAAAGGCTCTGCCAAAAGTGTAAAAATCACAGCCAAAATAGCTACACAAGTCAGGCCACAAATGCTGCACTCTTCAACCAGCTTTCCCCATCTTCCAAATACCACAAGCCACCTAATTCAACACAAGCAGGGGAGAGACCAGCCGAAAGGATTGGTACCCGCATGAACATCAATCGGCATGAATCTTGGAGTGTGCTTCCAACTGGCCTGGATACTCACCAAGACACCGCTGCTTAGCAAGATCATGAAGATGATGAACGTCTCAAACCAGTTATGCTCCACGATGATGAAGCAGGCCTTGCGTAGGGTGGACCAGAACATGCCCACTTCACTCGCCTCGCCAGAGGCACAGCAGGGAGAGCGAGCTACGCACCCTGAGCAGAACAGGGCCGTGGCAAAAAGTCACTCACGTACAAAAAGGAGGGAGGTGACTGAGAGTTCAGGGCACTTAGATCCTGGGTTCTAATTCAGGTTTCAAGTTGAAATTTAGCCTAATTAGTGAGAAACCCCAAAAAATGACGGTGTTTTTTTTGGCGCAGTCTTCAGTTCTGACCTCAGCCCTCCGCACCTGAGGATCTGGTTTTAATCATGGGTGGCTGCCTGGATTCAAACCCAGGACCACAGCGATACCACCTCAGTGCTCTGACCCTCAATCCACCAAACCACCTCCCACCAAACCACTTGTATATAATGCTTTGCATTATTTCTTTGCTTTGTATTATATCCATAAAAAAACTCATTTAACAGCTCTTGAGGAGCATTTACAGGTAATAAAACATATAATCGATTTCCATTCATCTCTTATACTTTAATAATAAAATGGTTTGCCTTATTGGCCTTCTGCACTTACACAGCATCATTTATTTAAGCACGCAAACTGTGGAATGGTTTCAACCTTCTGGGTTTCATGAGAAGAGGCAGGCTTGTTGAGGAAATACTTCAATTTTGCCAACCCTACCTATTTTAATGGCAGGCTGCCAAGTTTTAAACCCTTTTCATCATAAACCGATTGCATATTATTTTCTTTTCTCAAGATATTTCTATCGCGGTTTAATTGGCTTTGAAAATCAATAAGCATTAGAAGGGGGTAATAAACTATAAAATATTTTTTTATTTGATTTGAGCTATGAAACCTGGCCACAAATGATAGCCTAATAAAGTGGCTTATCACATGGAAATTTATAGCAGCCATCTTAACGTGGAGGAAAACAACCAGAGTACCCAGAGAAGAATCCACGCGACCATGGGGAGAACATGCAACACTCAAAATATAGACATCAGGGTGGTGGGGATCGAACCCATGACCTCCTATATACTAGGCGAGGTAATTAACATCTCGCCACCGCGGCGTCCTAAACATCGGCAAGCCTGCCGCTTGCATCGCTGCAGTTGGAAAAGTTGCTACTGCTGTCATTCCACCACTTCCGGTGTCCCCCAGACCCACGGGAATCATGATCCTTACACTGTGGGAAGCAATCATCCAGTCTGTCCTTTTCCTTCTCTTGCTGCTGCTGCTGCTGTTCGGATGGCTCCTTCTCAACTTTATCATGATTCCTATCACAGTCCGCAAAGTCAGGCTCTTCGTAATCATACTTCCACTCCTGAATCTGCACGTATGGATAAGACAAATATTGTATGATTATTATGGCCCTCTCTGTGGAAGATAATATGCTGATGATGGTGGAAGTGTTTTCCAAGGGTAAACAACATATATTATTTCTTCACGTTCTAACAGCAACAGGAGGAAGTAAAGGAAAAAGCAGATAAGCAGAAAGAAGAGAAGAACAGAAATCCATGCAGAAGTAGTGGAAGATGCAAACCAAGATCAGTAAGAAGAACTGAAAGGTGATGAAGTCGTAACTAAACTAAACTATAAAGTAGTTTTTATTTTACCAGGTAACGCCCACTGAACTGTATAGCTTTTTTTCAGAAGCGACAATGGCCACAAATGATAGCTAACCGAAGTGGTTTATCGTGTGGAAATGTACGGCAGCCAAAGACTCTGAACGCGTGACGTTGATTCTAAATGTGGAGGGAAAAACCGGAGGACCTGGAGGAAAATCCCAGCGACCACGGGGAGAACATGCAAACTCCTAATATGCAGGCGTCAAGGTTGGGATCGAACCCACAGCCTCCTGCATACCAGGTGAGGCAGTTAACATCTCGCCGTCGTGCACCGACGTCACGGTCCATATTTGCGAAATTTGAAAATTGCAGCAAATTACTCAACTGGGGTTAACACACGTGGCAACTGCGGTTAACGCATGTAGCAAACCACCGACCGTGGAACTATCCGCAGGCTGCTGTCTTGATCACAAACGCCAAATGTGCTGGATCATTGACGTGAGTAGTACAGAAAGAAGAACATGAAGAAGTGTCAGAAGAAGCAAAAAATAAGATTCCGAAAACTTTATGAAGAACTGCAAGGATAATAAGAAGCTAAAACATTATCCCAGTCCCACACCCGGTTCCTCCCTTCCCCTCCTCTCCCCTGTCCCTTTCATTTTCCCAGTACGTTAGTTATCTTTCGCCGTACCCTTTTCCCCTCCCCATATAAGCTTTCCATGTCCCCCGCTAGCGGTCCCCACCTGGGTGAGGCAATGAGCCGAGATTTTTGCCGAACTCGGGCTGCTGTTCGCGGAAACTTTGTTACAGAAGAAGAAGAAGATAGCCGTACCTCAATCATCTCGTGCTCCGTCTCGGGCATGGCCAGCGTCACGTGCTCGGCTGAGCAGCGCACTCTGCAGTTGCCGCCACCGCTGCTATGGGCTGGGCGCATGCACGAGCGTCGGGCCACCGCCACCGTGCAGGGCTTTCCCACGCGCCGTACTGGAGTCGCGCCGGCGCCCGCCCTGCACCCGTTGGCGACGCCGTCCGGGCCGCCGGCGTCCTCCCTCGTCGTCTTGGCCAGCTTGCAGAAGAAGGCGGTGAGCGTGGCCCTCGTGAAGGCTGCGGCCCTCCGGATGCGGTCGATGGCCAGGTGCATGTTGGATGCATCGGGCTCATCCTCCGATGCCGCGAACTTATCCGCGCTGAAGGAGCTCAACAACAGGGCCAGGAAGAGGTTGAGCACCTGAAAGTAATAAAAAAATTACTTAACAATGAGTACATTTTAAGAGTGAAGTTGAACCAATGGCAAGCACACGTTTACACCTGAATGGGAAAAAAAACACCTTTCGCATTATTGTTATGTAACTGTCGTTGTTGCATCACAGGACGTTGAAAGATGGTGACGCATTGGAGTGGCCTTCATATGGTAGTGGATTGACTATGACTGATCATAGTAGCTTTAATATTAGCACAGCACAGCTTAAGTTACAAATGCGTCACAGGCATAATGCTCGGAACAAATATACCGATCGAAGATGAGAATGGCCCAGCAAGTTGCCTTCACCACCTCATCATAGAAGCTGATTTCCAGCGTCAACAGAAAACTGGCACAGCAATGATTGATCTCTCCGCTGCCTATGGCACTGATTGGCGTCATGGCCTGCTTTTGAAGTTGGCCAAAATCACGTGATGCCATTCCACTGTATACCTCATCAGCCAACGTGTAGTGTTCGATTTCACTCAGACAACTTCTGTCTTTCTCCGAACACCGCTTTATTTACAACTCTCAGCATGTCCTCCACAGTCCACAGTATCCTGGTCGCCACGGCTCGCTCGCCGTGCTTCACTCAACTCGCTCGCCACCTTTGTCTCTCCACTCCCCACGATTACTTCGCTTACTCCGCTGCTAACTTCTTCGTCTCCGCTCTCCGCTATCATCGTCACTATGCTTACTCCACTGCTAACTACTTTGTCTCTGTTCACCGCCATCACCGTCACTATGCTCACTCCACTGCTAACTGCTTCGTCTCTGTTCACCGCTATCACCGTCACTATGCTCACTCCACTGCTAACTGCTTCGTCTCTGTTCACCGCTATCACCGTCACTATGCTCACTCCACTGCTAACTGCTTCATATCTGTTCACCGCCATCACCGTCACTATGCTCACTCCACTGCTGGCTGTTCTCGTCTTCAGCTCCGCTATCGCTACGCTCTCTCCACTGCTGGCTATTCTCGTCTTCAGCTCCGCTATTGACTCCAACTTCAATTCCCCCGCTGTTCACTCCAAGCTCCCCAACTTCCACCACCTCCGTCTCCAAGCTCTCCAAACTCCAACTCTCCCACTCCAATTGCCGACCCCCCAATTTATCCCCGCTCTCATTACGCCCCAATTAATTAGTCCGCGTCCCAACGGCACTCCGCGTGACCGTACACCTGTTTCTCCTCCAGACCTTTAGGCGCCACTCTAGCCTTGGCAACAGCTCCAACCAATCACAGCCGTCCACGGCTCTCCCAGCTTAATTGCCCTAACATAACCTGCACTGTATTCGCCTTCACGACAGGCTGACCCAAGATAACCCGTACTGTCTGTGTGATCATGTAATCACGCTGTTTGTACTACGCACCTTCCTACTCCACTACAAACGTACTGTCAGGGTACATCTCGCTGGTAAACACAGTCACAAGATAATTACAAAATTGGTTCAGTACTATCACTGTCACTATTAAACATGTATATTAGTGACCTGGCATGTATATCATCTTGCAAGTTCATACATCCAGATGACATAGCCCTTGTTGCAAAGTGCACAAATCTCGAGAACATTACCACTATTCTAAGAGTTGATCTCATTTTGATGGAGGCATATTTCCGTCACGAGAGACTCCCAACAACATTCTTACAAAACGACCACAAGTGCTTTCCACTTGAACAATCATGCAGCAGATGCCACCCTTGATGTGTCCTTCTGTGGTAGCACAGTACACTGTGACCCCACTCCAATATATCTAGGGATTATAATGGATGGAAGCCAGACCTTCAAGCCCGACGATTTGTGAAAATACCAAATCAACAATAGCGTTGCCGCAGACACTGTAACAGTTCGTGAATCAGCCTCGCAGTAGCGACCTGCGGAGTCCCAGCTGTTGTGCTGTGAGCATGCTGCCCTCTCACTGATCTACTCAGTGGCAGGGTCACTGTGCTCAAGCCTGGTCCGGGAACTCGTACACAAAACTGGTACGCCCACAATGAAATAACGCGATGCGCATCACAACCAGAACGCTGTACTGACGAACATTCTGCCACCAAATATCCGCGGAGACATCGTGCAAACTGCAAGGGAGTTTACACGTTTAAATGCTATCGATTACCACACACCCATCATCAACCAAGACCTCAACAGTGTTCCTCGCTGCCAACTCAAGTCCCGATCCACCTTCTGGGATTGTGCAGCAGTCACCATCCTAGAATCTCTCCCATATCTGGAAGAATGCTGGCGAACAGAGTGGACCAATGCGGACGTGCAGCATAAACGCCTCATTCGAGATCCAAACATCATCGCACCTCCTGGCTTTGACATTCCTCCTCATTGACAATGCTGTGACCATCAACCGCATCAGAACACCAACAGTTAGCTGTGCACCACGTCTCCTTCATGAATGGCAAATTAAAGACAAGTCACAGTCGTGTAATTGTGGCCATGCAACCCAAACTATGGACCACGGAGTAAACCACTGTGGTCTGTGCTCCTTAAAAAGAGGAAGAAGAGTGAAACTACAGAAACTCCTCAACCATATTGCCACACCATTAATATAATTCGTTCATCGAATCACCAGGGTCGGGTGGCAGAGGTGTTGGTTTTGAGGTGAGTTATTCCACAACTACAGTAGTTAACACAGCAACACGGACGTGTGACGTTTTTGGGGATGCTGCTGCATTTGCAGTGGTGCACACGCACAAATCACAACAAAAAAATCAACACATTTGGCAATAACACTGTGGCCTAGAAAGAAAAGATGTACACAGGGTGATGCTTTAGGCAATTCTTCATAGCACATTGATGAGCTATGTCAGTCCGTTTATTTCTGGTAAGGCCCATCTAAGCCAAAAAGCAATTTCTCAACGACAATCCGGACAAAAGGCTGAGTACGTTACATGGAAGGACCATAGTCTGAAACGTCACCTATTATATATTTTCCCTTTTTAGGCCACGAACACGTAGGTCAGGGCGCACAGGTCTGCTCGCTCACCACCAGGTTGCCGATGATGAGCACCGCCATGAAGATGATGATGCAGCGAGGCTTTCCGTCCAGCTGCATGCATATCCACATGTTCTCAATCCATTCTCCGCACAGGATGCGGAAGACGATCATGAAGGAGTGTAAGAAATCGCACATGTGCCACCGCAGTGGCAACATATCATCGGGCAGCATACTCCAATTTTCTTTGGCGTAGCTATTTTTAAAGAGCTGCATGCCCACCACTGCGAAGATGAAAATGATGACCACGAGGATGAACGTCAGGTTGGCAAGGGCTCCCACCGAGTTCCCGATTATCTTAAGCAGCGAGTACATGGTGCCCCAGGACTTGGCCAGTTTAATCACTCGCAGCTGCAACACAAAAACAAATAATTTCTACAATAATAACAACAACAACAATGGCAATGGTTGAAACTGAGTATGGGTGTGTCACAAATCTCCTGTTTAGAGGCTTCAGCCATTGGTGGAAATGCCACATTCCTTTGGTGGGGTTGAGTTTTTCCATAAGGGAAATGTAGTTGACTTTCATGCAAAATGGTACATATTTTATCCACCACAAAGAGATAAGACTACATCTACCCCCCTGCCCCCCCGAAAAACCCCAGCCAGGAATTGAACTCACAGACATGCAGTCTATTCTACCTCTGAGCCTTCCGCTGACGGCTGAACCACCCAGTCAAATAATCACAACGACATGATACAACAATATCAATAACATAGACTCGACGCAACTGAAATTCAATGTGGACAGAATGGCCATTGCCTACAACGTATCCTATTGCATAACGTTTCCTCTTTTAGGGCAGCACTATTGTCAAATATGTTGAGTTTTTTTGTCATTTGCGGTTGCGTGCAGCCCTGCCAAATGCAGTATCACGATTTTTGTTGCTCAATGACAACAGACATTCAGCATAAGGAGAAGACGGATGATGGGAGATTGATTGAAAAAGTTAATTTCAACCTGTAGACAGGGTCCGCCCAACCAATTCTCGTAAATCAGTTGGGGGGCAGACAATGTTGGGCGTTCTAATGCAGAGAATGCTTTTAGGCGCAGTCACACGAGAGCAGTTATGATAACTTCCATTTGTGGCTTTGCCGCTTGCGGTTACAAATCCTTTTGCTGAACAATTTGCAGCACCGAGTACAAAATTCCATCAGTTGACAGAATATTACAGCGAAACACTTACATACATTTTAAGTTGAATCAACGGGTTAATAAATAAGCATTTATTGAAATTTGCGTTTCTTTGTAAAGGAAAAAAAACTCACGACGGGTGAATGTTTATACTCATACCGCACTTGCGCAGTAAACCTGAGTTGTAAAAAAAAAGTAGAGTGGAAATCGACATTGAAAACCCAATGCTGACAATGAATAAGGGGACTGGGATGAGCAGACAATGATTGATGTGCATTTCAAGTCCTGTTCGGCCACTGAACATGATTATGTTTTTGCTTGAGGGCAATATAAAACAAGCATTCTAAGTGTTTCCAACCCAATTCTCATCGCTGCATGTCCGTTGGCAGCAATGAACAAGTGGTGGAAATTCCACATTCCTATGTTTAAGAGCAGTCTCTCTGAGGGACAACCACTGGAATCGTCTTAACATGTGGTGCCTCCGTTTTATTTTACCTTGGAGAAATTGTGGGCTGAGTCGACCCCCCTAACCCCGAATATTTACTTTATTTTACCAATTATATTTCGCTCGCGCTTTCGGCTTCATGTGATGAGATGAAGACATTTCCGTTCATAACGCTGCAGTGAGCAGTGCACCACTCCGTGTCAGATAATGTGAACTACTGCTAAAGTCTATTAAATATATCTCTAATAGCTACACCTGGGGTACACCTTTTAATGCCCTGCAAACATTGTTCATTGCATTGCAATCAATTAAAAATGCATTATATCTCAGAACTTGAATTAACCATCTTCTTTGGTTCTTTCGGTAAAGTAACGTAGAATGAGAATAAAATAATAAAATAACACAATAAAATTCTCACAGTATAACACGATAAAATTCTCACAGTGAGAATTTTATTGTGTTATTTTATTATTTTATTCTCATTATACGTGACTTTACCGAAAGAACCAAAGAAGATGAATCCTTGCAGTCACGAAAGCTTTAAATCGAAAATTGAATTAACCAAATAAAGTGATAAACCACATCATCATTTTTATTCAGTCATTGGTCAAATGTCTGAGACCTTCAGCTCAATACAATTGAGAAGCTAGGTTAATCACAGGTGGCTCAAAACCACATTTAAACCAAGGATTTGAAGGTTGCCAGCTCAGATCTCTGACCCCTGAACCAACCTGGCCATTTCATGATCAGGATTTTGCTCTCGTTATTTTTATTACTATTGCCTCAGTGTGACCCGGCTGAATATTCAATAATTGCCGCGTGCATATTTTCATTTACCAGCCGGAAGGAGCGCAGCACAGACAGATTATCAAAATCTGGCAACCACATCTCCACCAGGCTGACGGTGACGACAACAGAGTCAAACTGGTTCCATTTCTCCTGGAAGTAATAGTAAGGGTCCATGGCGATAATCTTCAGCACCATCTCTGCTGTGAAAGTTCCTGTGAAGAACTGGTGGTAATTGGAAAAAAGTCAAACGCATCAGTAAGGTTTGCCTTCGGACGCTCGCTTTCTAACAACTCATTATTCACCAAGATGCAGTCACAACCACGGTTAATATGTTTGCATTTTCAGTTAAGTATTTTACCAGAATTTTATCAAAAGGTAAAGGTACATCGCTGAAACTCCTTGCTCGCGCTCCTGTCGGCGGAAGATCATCCAGAGCTTTAGAGCCCCTCCTGATAGTATTTTGCTTACTCTTTCCCGCTGGCCGGGCATCTTAAAAGAGGTTCAATGGAGTACCCACACTTTAGGCCACCATACACGACCTGCCCATCGGCGAGCTGTTGTGTACCCATTGTATACTCCTGGGTGGATGGAGAGGGAGGATAAAAAAATGCTCTCACGACCTGTCGCTCGCTAGTCCAGTGAACCAACCGTTGCACCGCAGCAGCATTACTTTTCTAACACTGCCGTATTTTGTGCTTGGATATTTCCCGTCATGTTTCAGGCATCAGAAATATTACGTCTCAAGGGGTCTCATTTGCTTCTAAAAAACGTAGGCTATCGGTGTGTTGATTTTTTTTCCCCAAGTGAAAGGCGAAGAGCATAAAACGGAATTGTCCCGCATTCACTGCAGCAGCGCTTCAACAACCAAGATCAAGCACTAATCAAACCGATCGTAGGGGCTCTACACTCCCCAAATATTAATTGCAAACAGCTTGTTGAAGGCAAAAACCACAAAACCAGGCTACACAAAGGTTTTAGACAATTTCGAGAAGATGTTTCAATTAGTAAACAAACATTTATTTTCTGGAGAACATTTGTTCACAACATTGCTTGCAATGTCACACTACCAAAATGCACGTGTCCCAGGAGCCCGCAAATGTTATGCCAAACTTGTTTTTTGGTTGAAGTTGAAGCATTAACTGCGTTGCCACCTGCATGACATTCACAAACATGGTCACGTCCTCATTTACAATTTCGATGCATTGTCGCAATTCAGGAACACAATTAAATTCACGAATTGATTGTATATCTTAACAAGGGCGGAAAGGCCCAGAAGGGAATGGGTGTTAAAAGGGGGGAGGGTGGGGGAGAGACGGGTTATATAAGGGAGATGATTTGGAGGGTTCGGGGTTGGTTTCCGATGGTGAGTGGAAGTACGGTGTGAGTTCCCTTGGAAATAGAGATCCTGCTTAACCAACTCAAGTATCCTCTGCACACGTATACGTGATAGGTGTACTTTAATTCCGCAGCCACTAGAGGCGCTACAGTGCACCATAGTGTTACCCTCTCGGAGTTTTCTCCCCCTTGCCAAACCTTCTCGGGTTTTTCCCACTGCTAATCCTCCTGGGGCCAATCCGAGCACAGTGTCCTCCACTCAATAATCTGATTGCGTGTCGTACACGGCAGCGCTTCCGTGACCCTTAACCCGCGTTCCCGTGACCCTTAACCCGTGGTTGTGTGGCGTTTGTGTGCGAGGATGTCCCGAACATCCTCTACACGTGTATGTATGTTGAAACCGTTTCGCACAGGAAGTAACCAACCGTGCTAATCGGAAGTGCAAATCACATACATAATATACAAATAGAAAATAATGTACACAATTCGACGCATTTCCCGTGAGCTTAGAAAAAGTTATCGCAAATTCCCTAATAAAAAATCTGTCAATCACAAAGAAACCCATCATAATCGAAAAACAAATGCAGGCCAGAAAACCATATATTTCGAACCACACACAGAAACATGTGCAATGTATTTCTTCAGTAAATTTAAACAATACAGTTCTTCAGAAACTGTTAATCCTTTTTTTTGCATAATTCACATAGGCTGAATGCTGCTGATTCTTTTTTTTTACGCAAATCCCCTACTCACGACATTTCCATTCCGGAGCACTTTCTTGAAGTCCTCGCTCATGGAGTCGTGCTCCAGACTCATGAAGACCGTGTTGAGCACGATGCACAGGGTGATGGCGAGGTCCATGAAGGGGTCAGAGGCCACGAGCTTGGCGAGCCGTTTGATGCGAATCCACACGGGACACCACTCCCAGATGAGGGCAGCGTTGGCAAACGCGTGCCAGCACGGAGGGCATTTCTGCTTGGACTCGTGAGCCTCTGCAGCAGTCCAGGGAGTAATATTTTAGTCATTCAGCTTTGCTTTCCACTGCACCTGTTATTATTACGTGTGTATCCCAAGAAAGACTTCAATTTCAATGCTCTTTTTTCAGAATTGGCTTCAGAAATACATTTATGGGTCTTTAGATTTGGAAGCTAAGCAGATTGTCAGCCTGGTTAGCGCTTGGATGGGACAAGTGTGCGCCTGGAAATACCAAGTGTTGTAGGCATTGGGCTGCGAGTTGACCAAGAGAGGGCAGTACAGCAATGGAATCTTAAATACATCTGCGTGGAGCTTTAAGTGTCTTCCATCATAGGCACACATCTTCGTTGGGTGTTCATGTTTCTTCTTATGTCTGGCCAAACATCCCAATGCAAGACCATCTTAAGAGCCTAAAGACTCAATGAGACTCTCCTTAATATGTAAAGGGGATTTAAATATATATATAAAAATTGAGTGGTTTCCCCATCCGTAGCGTTATATCAAAGTTGGAGTGGTTCGGAAATACAAAATTAATAATTTAGAAATGTAACAGAATTATTTGATCAGGTCTGAAATCCAAAATCTCTCAAAGCATTGATTTTGTTTGGAGTGCAATTCCCCTGTAAATGGTCGCAATATTGTTGTTGTTACTATAACTCGTTTTATTATGAACGTATCTGTTAATGGTGTAAGTGCCCACGTAATAATTGTATTCTTTTTTTTATAATTCACTACATACCCATTTTTTTGGGACCTAATTCGTGTGTTGGCAGGAAAGCAGTTTATGATAATAATTGGTAGAAAGCGATCAAATCTGTGGGTTATTTTTCGACTGGTTTCCTTGTTTTCTGACAATGGCAGAAAACAAGTTTATTCCAACAGGCGAATGTAAGCCGCAGTGTGTACAGGATGATCATGAGACAACAACACCTGGAAAGTCCCCAATCACGTGAGAACATAAGCTCAGCAGAGTTGAGAGCCTGGATAGTGCTTGCATGAGTGACCACCGTGCACCACAGGTTGTTTGAGGCTATGGGGCTATGTGTTTGGGGCTGCAGAGAGCAATGCAGAAAAATCCATTGTTGTTCTGTACGCTGCCACGTCTCTGCTCCCCCACCTTTACCGACCTGAACTAACAAGTGTGGTGAATTATGGCCAATTCACCCCCATGACCCGCAATGCATTGGGAGGCCAACATCTAACGCTGGTTTGATATACACCGTGACACACATTTGCAAAATTTGTGACAATATTGTGGATTTTTTTTAAATGTGCTGTAAATTAATTAATTTCATTCCCAAATGTTTTACACATGCAAAAGAAGTTATAGCAAACAAGTCACACAAATATTTGAACGCTGAAATAAAACGTATTTATAATACAAAATGTGAAAGTTGTTCAAATGCTACTTAAAATGTCTATTCATGACAAATATTGAAGTGGGAAGGATCCATGACCAGTTAAGATATCACTCCCCACTGATTCATAATATAAGTTTTTGGGTTAGATCGCGTAAATATATAAATGTGTCATTGAAACCCGCCACCACCCGACACAGCCAACTAGTAAGGGTTGTCACGTAAACAGAACATGCCAATTCGTCACTAGTACAGCCACACCGGTGTGTTGGAGAGCCAAGCCACAACATTTACAAACTGAGTACGACGTTCCGCCAGTAATTACAACTAGCTTCATCAATTACTGGCGAAACGTCATACTCAGTTTGTAAAAAGATTTCCAAAATCATGAGCAAACACAAAATCCAGGTTCGATTTAACACAGTACATAATATTCGTGATCTGATCCCATCTGGAAGGATGTGTTCCCTGACATGTAATACCCCGGCGTCTACAAACTAAGCTGTGTCTGTGACAGTAGTTACATTGGGGAAACTAAGCGACATGTCTCGGACCGTGTTCGTGAACATAAGGCAGATCTGAAACACGGCAGGACCAATACCTCAGCCGTGGCTGATCATTGTTTTAATGCGGCGGGCTCATACGAAATTGATTTCTCTAAGACGAAGGTACTTTGCAAGCCCACTGGCTATCAACAAAGATTCGTTTATGAAGCCATCCATATATATAGACACAGACACAATTTCAACCGAGAAGATGGTACAAACTTAGCAGTCATTGGAAGGACGTTATTAACCAGTTTAAGTCATAACTGGCTGTGATGTTTCCATCCTGCCTTCCCATGTTAGTAGTTATTTTCGACTCTCTGGTTTTACATTAACAGGTTAAATGTCTTTACATTAACAGGTTAAATGTCTCACTAACACAGCCACTGTTTCTCGTTTTCCTCGATGTGGCGGTGGCTCTGCGATCTTACATTGACATACAAATTTCTCACTTTAACATCACTAGCCCCGCCTACATCGCTTATGACCCTTGGGCTACACCCATGTCAAACTTTTAAATCAGCCTGCCTCAGCAGCTTTCCCGCAATTTTTTTTCTCCTGATGACGATTGCTTGTGTTGCGATTGAAACGTCGTAGTTTTTTGTTATTTTTTGTTATTTTCTTTGAACCTATCTACGTGACTCTACCGAAAGACCCAAGAATGTGAATTCAGTTTGTAAATGTTGTGGCTCGGCTCTCCAACCCACCGGTGTGCTCTACTAGTGACGAATTGGCGTGTTCTGTTTACGTGACAACCCTTTCTAGTCGGCTGTGTCGGGTAGTGGCGGGTTAAATGACACATTTATATTTTTTAAGTCATTTAACCCAAAAATCTCTATTATGGATGATAATGGTCGCGAAAGCCTACGTGTTAAACTGACTCACCACTGACGTTTGCCGTGGCTGGGAATCAAACTTTGGTGACCAGTGGTCATAGCGCAGTGCGCAAACCAGTGCTCACTCACAGTTGTGGTATACGTGAGTGCGTGCCGATGCCATATATACATGTATACATTGTATATTAGGGATGGAACGATACATTTATTAATCGATTAATATTTATTCTTAATGCGACGCGCGCATTTAATCACACGTGCAAAAATCAACGTTTACTGATATCTATACATTGGATGTGATGAGTTTCTTGTGACCCTTGCAGCTAATAGAGGACCTACTAATGCATGCCGATGTAAAAAAACAATAATCAGCTTCTTTAATCGGATCGTGACTTTGAACCGTGAAAAGTCATCAAGTTTCTGGAGGTGAAAGAGGAAAGTGGGGAGTGTGGATGCATCATTATGCCCCGAACATATATATTCTTACATCAGCATTCCGTATTTTACCTGTCATTGCGCTTATTGTGCTGACTGCCCTCTTCCTATTTACCGGGTCATCAAATATCTCTGACGGCACTTGGATGGAGTTGGACCTCATTCGCAAAGGAATCCCGTGGTCCTATTAGAAACATCGGACACATGCAAGGCCCACACGCTCACATTTAGTGGTCAAAAAAGCCAGCCCCTGTTGCGATTTAATGGCACTAACCCAATTTTCAAGCCTCTCGCAACACCCACAGGGGAAGGCACTGGAAGCTCATAAGTGGCCCCTACGTCCACAAGTAAACCCGTTACAGGCAGAAAACGTAATTTTGTTCTTGTGCCTGGGGTATGCTCCACAGTTGCAGCGTGTGTGTTTCACCACTCACGGCTCATAAATTAGGGGAATGACCTTGTCGGCATATTGCGAGAGAATTTGAAATCGGCTCTGGCACGATGGCGCATCAGGAGAGTGCACGGCTCGAAATTGGAAATTTGCGAGTTTTTAATGTCCCAGTTGGGGGGGGGGGGGTGATTCAGCGTTTCATCCCTCCTGGGTTGATAAAATGATTATCGTTTGCGAGGGAGTCAATAACGTTCGGATGGAGAGACTTGCCCCCCACCGCAAGGATGTGGAATTTCAACTGGAGGATGAGGACTCTAAAGGAGAGATAAGCGCTGCACGAGCACTCAAATGGTTGTCAGTCTTAGGAAGTGAAGAGGAAAGCCGTGGACCTGGATTCGAATAGAGAAATTGTTTCGGCATTTGAGAGAGGGAATTCCAGGATATGGCGGCAGCAGCAGCGACTTCCCAGGTGAGCGGAAGGTTACCTGAGGGTTTTGACAGGAGAGCCCGGGTCCGTTTGAGCAGTGGACATGAGAAGGAGGGAGAAGCGGGGTGACACGAGGTGCGCAGAGACATACGAGTGCGGGTCCACGGGCGAGAAGACAATGTCGTCGCTGACCGCGCGTCTCTGACGGGCGCTCACCGGTGAAAGTACGTCACCATCCTCGAACGCAACGCATGGCCGGCCTGGCGCTCCCCTGGGAGGCATCCCGACGGAGTCGCCGCTGCCGCACTGGCTATGGAAGCTGCCGAGCCGGTTGCGCTCCAGCCAGATGTGGAACGCCATGTCCTGCATGGACTTCTTCTCCTCCTCCGTCAGGCTGGTCTTCTTCGATCCTCGTTTGCTGCCGGGCGAGCCGCTACCATCGGGGTAGTTGAAGACATTGCAGTGGCCCATCTGTATTGGCGTCGGTGGGAACAGGGGCTGTCAAGAACAAAGGAGGTCACGGTGCGATGTAGGGCTGGGACCATTGGTCAGGGTAGTAGATTAAACGACTATGGATTACCCTCTCTTTGTGGCCGATTACTTGGGGCTCCTTTTACAAATGACGGCCATCCCTACATCTTGCCTCCCGAAAGCAGGAACCCCCTGCATGCCACACATAGCGTGACACAGCCGGCGATGCCAATTACTTCACCAAGCTCCGCAATCACCTCCCGTCCAGCAGCACACTTGGGAACTTCCATAAGTCGACCACTCGAACTGACAAACGGATGAGTAATCGATCACTTATATAATTGGAAAGCCCAGCTGTAGATCAGTGCTACAGAGGCAGAACTGGGCTGACAGGCTGTGTGATATCAGACACATACATATAACTGCGCGCGAGCACAGATGAGTACAACGCGCGACCATCACCAATGCCATTCACCCTGCTTTTCTGCAGGGCAAAGTCTCGTAGGCTAATGTGCCTGCATTTGAAAGCAGGATCATAATGGCACAAGCTCGATGCTCAGGTGGTGGAATGAAATAATTGTATTGGGATGGGCAAGTGAGTGGAAGTGGGTGATATAGAGACACAAAGAGAGAAAAGAAGACATGGAGACAAATCTATATTGAAAACGAATTTCTTTAGAACTGATATTTGTGTTTAGTGTATTGTCTTTCCCCCACACCTCCAATTAGCATGGTTGGCTATGTAGACACTCAAGATACACAGAAGTGTGTATCTCTCTCGTTGGCATGCTGGTCTCTCCTCGTAGTTGCTCTTTCGGGTTGTTTGTTCTTGTTGCCCGGTTCTCTGACATTGACATCCTAATCTTCTCATTGGCACAGCCCCTGGTTGCTGGAGCCGTCTCACATTGACATGCTAATCTCTCACATTTACGTACAAATTCCATCTCTAGCTCCGCCCACTTACCCTGGGATTGAGCCCACCTAAAGCCTATCTAACCTCGTCTTGCAGCAGCTCTTTCTCCTGTGTCAGCAGTTCTCCTGCTGTGTTTGTCTCACCTGATGACGGTCGCTTGTGTTGCGATCGAAACGTCGTTATCTATTCATCTTCTACCTACGTGACTTTACCGAAAGAACCAAAGAAGTATGGATTCCTGCAGTCACGAAAGCTTCAAATCAAGACAGAATAAAATTAGTAATAAAAAATTGACAAAAAAATAAACACATAAAAAACAGCAGTGAATTGAAGCTAGAATACTGCATCTAAGCTGGACCGAAAAATTAACCAACGTATAAGTAAGAAAAACGTTGCACATAGAAGACATGATGATGCTGGCAATGATGAGAAGGAAACTGGCACTATTTGGACACAAATGCAGGATGGACAACAGCAGGATAATTAAAAGTGCGTTGTTCTGAAAAATGAAAGAAGAAACCGGAAAGAGAGACCTAACAGAGAATGCCCAACGAGGACATCAGAGATCGGTGCCAGAAAGATGTGGCCACTACGTGAGCACACTGGCACAAGACAGAGGGAAAGTGTAAACCAATGATGAAATGTGCGGTGGCACGTCTATGGGATATCTGCCAACACGCATCGTGATGACGACGACGGATTTGAGACTTAACGGCCCGCGTCTGTCCCCCGAGTGGCGTGCTCGCCGAGACTCACGTCGACCACCTCGTCCTCGGTGTAGTCGGGGTGCAGCATGTACACCTTCCGCGAGGGGGGCGCAACGGGGGCTGGGGGGGACTCCACTTTGTCGTCCGCCGTGCTCGCCGCCGCCGCCGCCGCCGCCGCCGTCTGCGCCGTCCCACCGCGCGTGCTCCGCCTCCCCTTGGTGCTCCCCGAGCTGCTGCGCGACCATTCGGACGGCGTGCAGGGGCGGAACCGACTCTTTCTCCTGGAGAGCCCCGCAGCCTGCACCGCCGCGTCGGCAAGATGTCAATTACCTCGCCTGGTGCGCGGGACGTCGTGGGTTCGATTCCCACTGGGAAGCGGGCCGAGCTTATTGATACTCGCACAGCAATAACCAGCGCGACCTTGCCAGACCAGCGGATGCATGACCAGCGGCCTGTGTCACCACCGCAGTGAACATCTCGCCGTGGTGGCGAGATGTTCACTGCCTCAACGCCACAAGCTCAGTGGGCCTTACCTGGTAAAAAATAATAATAATGAATCAATTGTTTTAGTTTAGTTTAACATGGGCGCCACAGACTTTGTAGGGTGCGGGGTAAAAATAAAATGGGCAGGGAAAAATCACGCGCGTGCTTTCCAACGTGCGTTTGTCCTTATTATTTTCGTGGGCGATAGCAACGTTAATTTCCAAGGTTAGGTCGTGCCTAGCGACGTATTTGGTGTGTCACGTGGGCGGCATGTGAGATCATCACATTGGCCGAAGGGGATGATATATTTTAGTGCTATATTTTATCACGAAATATTGGGCAACCCTTTGATTAATTTGGAACAGTTTTTTTTCACGCTTATTCCCGAGAAGAAACACAACTTTAACCTATTGTCTTTTTTTGGGATCCTCTTTACGAGCATTATCGTAACTCCATGTTACAGATGGACGGACAGATGGAGGGATTTCATGCATTCGTGCTTTGAGCCTCAGTTGGCAAGCACAGTCAAATGTCTTCCAACTCAAACAAGTGTGGTACTCATCAGCAGTGATGCCAAATTATGGGAATTCAGTGGGAGATCTCAAGAATAACGATGAAGCCGAATGGTGCAACTTCCCTGCTTGAAACTTGCAGATGTTGCACATCACCTTACGTTAAACAATGCAATACAGCTGTGTTTGTTTTGGGACAGAGTTGCACATTACTAGATCAATTAAAAGTCAGTGAGGGCTCATTGCGAATGCACGATAAAATATAAGCAGGTAGGCCCGACCTCTGCCCACCCCCGCTCCCCCCACTACCATTTTGCCTGGATAGTCCAGCCCAGGGTACCTGGTGGGAAATACCAATTATATATTTATATATTTGTGAGTGTCCGGTCACCCACGACGTCCACAGTGGCTGTGTCCGAGTGTGAGCAGGGGGCGACTGTGGACACACCAGGGCTTCCTGCTCCTCCTGCTGCAGCCGGAGCTGCTGGAGCATCTCCTCAAACTCGGCCTCCTTCGCCTTGTCCTTGTTCTGCATTGCCCTGTTCTGGTCCTCGTAGGACTTGGCCACCACAGCCAGGATGAGATTGATGAGGTAGAAAGAACCCAGGAAGATGACCATGACGAAGAAGATCATGTACACCTTGCCCGACGATCTCAGGGTCTGGGTGGAACAAAACGATGCAGTGAAGGGTTTTTTTTGGAGGAGTAATTATGGGTGTAATGATTCCCCACCTTGGCGATTCAATGAATTGGGGTGATCCACTGACCGCTCACCAATGACAACATACATCATTTACAACAGTGCAGCTATGAAGCTCTTTTCCACAGATGTACAGGAGACAAGGTGGTTACAAGGTCACCCCGTGGGAGCAAGGCCAGCAGCTGTACTCATATCCACAGAAGTGTGCTTGTATCAGAAGTTGTCCATTGCCTTCCCCCACCAGCGTAATGTAAGGATGTGTTGCTTACATCACAGCTTGACTTACATATGGTGTGCTTATATCGAGTTTTTTTCTGTGCTGTGTGTGTACTACCACGATTTAACAAACATAATGGTGATGATTACAGCTTTTGGAACTAGATTAAAAACTAATCGAATTAGAGAGATCGGGAGAAAGCAAAATACAGTCAAGAGAAAAACCAAAGGGACAAATATTTGATAGCAAATGTAAATGGTAGCAGATGTTACACCAAAGACGCATTCCGGCTTTGTGCAAATCCATTCCAGGAATCTCAGTGGAATAGCTGTGATACGGCTGGGAATGCTGGCCGGCAAGTTCGCCACGGTGGGCAACATGTTAAACGCCACGGTGACGAGATGTTAACTACCTCACGTGGTATATAGGAGGTCGTGGGTTTGATCCCGACCCTGACACCTGTATATTTAAAGTGTTTGCATATTCTCCCCATGGTGGCGTGGATTTTTCTCCGGTTTTTCCCCTCCACACTTAGAAACGTGCTTTTAGAGTATTTGGCGGCTATACATTTCCACGTGATAAGCCACTTAGTTGAGCTATCACTTGTGGTCAGGTCGCCTCTGAAAACGAGCTATATAGCTCAGTGGGCCTTACCTGGTAAAATAAAAAAATAGTTTCATTTTAGCTAAGTAGTTAAATAGTTTAAATACAGTAATTGAACATCTTGAGTCATCGTCTTTGACCTTTGCGTCCTTTCGTGTAACAGGGAGCCAAGCGGACCGCGAAGACGAGCCCAATAACAACAGAAAAATTAAAGACATGAAATGAGTCCATCGACTCACCTGCTGGTAAAGATACTCCCAGGAGTCTTGAGTCATGAGGCGGAAGAGAGACAGGAACGCCCACCCAAAGTGGTCATAGTTGGTGAAACCAAAGTTGGGATTTTCTCCAATCTTCAAGCACAAGTATCCCTCCGGACACTCCCTGTAAGGGACGGCGTAGCCACGGGTTAGCCCACACTGGGGCATGCAGGGGCACGCTATGGCAAGCTTAGGGTTGCCACCTGTGCTGGTTTTCCCAGAATATCCCCTTTTTGAAACGTGTAGTCTTTCTGCACCGTTAGAATCCCAGATTTGTGTTAGTTGCGCAATAACAAACCGACTCAAGACAATGCACTTCTTACAGCACTTTCTCTCCTCTCCTGGCATTGGGAGATATTTTTCTTACTTTAAAATGTTCCGGTTGTTTGTAACTCAGAGAGGGCAACCTTCGGCAAGCATCCCACCATCGCACGTGTCGGGCTGTACATGTACAGCTCAGCCTTTTTTTTTGTTAGTCCACTGCTGGATGAGGGGGTCTCGCCGCACCGTGCGGTTCACGGAGGCTACGTGACCATACTTCACGGCGGAGGCGAGTGTGGTTTGTGAACGCAGGGGGCACAGACATCGGAGCATAGTACAGGACAATAATTGATTTTTGCTGCACCGCCCTTTTGCTGATAGTGCAGTCTCCACAGCGGCCTACAGCACCTGTGTGATGCATCTCTGTTTCCCATTCAAGTACGGTCCAAGCCTAAACTCCCGCTGATCTCCTGAGACCTGTACCCGTTTGCCGCGTGGCCAACGTGCGCATGTAATCTGATCCCCTCGCCTGTTTGTCCATCTGTCAAAATGTTTGTCCTTTGTCTCCTTATTCCTTTTTCCACTGCTATCGTACAAGGACATAATTGCAATATATAAGTATATGAACTACATCAACGATAAGCCCAACGGTGTTCGAGTCCAGTTTGCGATGGACATTGCGTGCAATCCTCCCTGACCCTTTGGGCAAAAGCCAAGCGATCGGTAGAGATAAGCAGATGGCCTTTTACTTCGTCACGTGTGCCGTGTGGTACCACACTGCTCGGTAAGGTGACGCTCTGTAAGTCCATGAGCCCTGCGCAGTTTTAAATATGATTCGCACTTACAACCTTCAGCGCTGCACGGAAAACCGATGTTCCGAAGCACTCTTTCGCTTTCACTCTAGAGATGCAGGATCATCCATTAATGTAGGTACTCCACCGATTTCTAATTCCCCGCTTACTTTCTTCTCGACGGTCGGCTAAAGATTGCGAGAGCGATGGCTCCGCACCTTTGCAGGGGTGGAGGTTTGCACCCGACATGCAGGAAACATTCGGGAGTGTGCATGCTCAAAGGAAAACGATTTACAACTCGCATCACAAATTCTGTTATACAGGTGTGGTTTTTAAGAATACATTAAAGCAGTGGCTGAGAATAATGTATTGCATGCACACGATTCCTTGCTTGACAGCCCTCAACCACAATCTGTGATTGTATCAGTTCTCTCTGTTGTTTTAAAGGGGCATCTTTAAATGGATCACCCTGTACAATTGCAGTCTGCCGCAGAAATTCCGTGTTCTCTGTCCGCACACGTGGGAATTCTATTTTCCTCCTGTTGTTCAAACGTGAAACTGGCTAGGCATGCTATGCCAAGTTCTTGTGACATTCAGCGGGGTTATTTTTGGGATAAAATAAATAATGTGCATTTTACATAACGCATATATATTTCATATTTATATTGAGGAGGGTTCTGTCTTGAAACTCCATTTTTAGAATGCTGAACGTGCGGTGGACAACAGGAAAACAGTGAGAGCAGCGTGCCGGTAAAAACTCAATCACTCTCGTGAGAAGCACTTACAATTGCCGCACAGGTAGATTAAAAAATCCACTGCCTTACTTGCATCTCTCGGCCTATCCCACATCCCGAGCCTAGTTTGTAGTCCTTCCGCCGCACCTCCCATTAGCACAGTTGGCTATGAGCGGCGCGAAAGGAGTTCACAACACACACGTGCATACACCTGATGTCTTTCAGGCCAGTCTCCCACCCATGTATAAACAGAGGCTGAAAAAGCCCCGGCTTAGCTCCACGAAACTGGCAAGACCGGGCACAGTCAGGTCGATTTGGTCGTGTCGCATTTCACCACAGCCGCATTACTGTCTGGGTGATGTAGGGCATCTGCTAGGCTCAGAACGCGAGAAGCGAAAGCGCAGCGGGGGCCCACCAGATTAACGAGAGGAGGAACGTCCCCCCGGGGTGGGGAGGGGGTGGAACAAGGAGTGGCTCAGAATCGGAACAAAAATATGGATTTATACTGGAGGAACCCGATGAGCTATGAAGCTCTTTTTCAGTAGGGGCTACAGGGTTTGAAAGTTAAAACAGACATGCACACTCACCCGGCCCCTGAGCTGTTTCCGCAGAGTATTGGCTGATTGTCGGACTTGTAATAGTTATCTGTAAAAGTGCAGCGGCAACAGTTTGATGTTTTAGAACACCGTTTGAATTACGGCAGATGCAATAATCCATGCAGCATGCACATTGTACATTAGGGGGCTGATCGATGCATGTGTGAGCATTAAGGGATGGCTCCCGATTGATCAACCATATTACGTATGCTGATGATCTAGTAATTGCTGCTCACTCTGGGAAGAGGTTGGAGGATCTGCTGCTGAACCTGGAGCATATCACGAAAAAGTGGGGCCTTACCTTCAGCCCCACCAGAACTAAGCATCTGCCTGGGTAGTATTGTGTCATCAAACACTCTAACCACTCAACTCCCCATGAGTGATGGGACATTTGTGGAGAGAGTGGAGAAGTTTCCGTGCCTGGGTAGTGTGCTTATGACAAGCTCCAGTTTGGCAGCAGAGATCTCGCTCCGAAATAGTCGAGTGGAATTATCTTTCCATTAGCTCCGTAACGCTGTGTGAAAGCTACGTGGTCTGTCTCTCCAGATAAAGCATCTGGTCTTCTCAGTCATAGTTATGCACTCCCTTCTCTATGTTTGCAAAACGTGGACCCTTCTGAATGAACATCTGTGCTGGTTTGAAACATTCAGGTTGGCCTGCCTAAGATCCGTCCTGGGTTTTACCAGCCTGGATTGTGTGAGCTCACAAATCCTTGAAATATTGTGGGCTCATTCCCATCGGTGAACTCCTCTGGCAGGCAAGGCTGCGTTGGCTGAGGGATGTAGCCCACATGACCCAGCCATCGCATGCCCAAGCAGCTTTTGTTTGGTCGGATAGAGGGGGATAAATGGACGTGGCCCGGGCTAGAGAAGAGATGGACTGATGTGATACAGGAGGATGTGGAGCTGAGCGTATTTTCCGAAGACTGGTATCAACGGTATCAAGATTGTCCTCCAACAACAGCAGAGGGTAGAGGAATGATGCTCATGACTACCAGTGGCAAACTGAGCAGCTAAAATGCATCAATTTGGCATAGTGGGAAGAACAGTTGGTGTATCCGCTGATCATCTCAGTCAACCAACCCATGGCACCTGGGTAAGTCCCATGACCTCGTGCCAGCGAGCCTTCGACACTTCACATGGCCTCAAAGTGCACCTATCCTGGCACAAGCGCCATGGTGATATCACCGACACTTAGTGGCGATTGTCAGCTGTTGTTGTTGCTGTTGTGTGTGCACCTGTATGCACATTGGTAGTGGTGGCTCAGCTCAAGAGCAGACATCATCTCTCGTCAAGGAGCATTAACCTTCACACAAACCCCGATGATCCTCGCAGCAGCTTGTGGCTAACCATCGAACAAAGACGGTCACCATATCGCGCACCTTCGGACGTGCTCTGCGGACGTCTGGAACGCTCTTCCTTCTGATATTAAGAAGCCACTGGAGCTATGCACTTTTAAATCTAGATTGAAAATTAATTTATTTAGAACTGCTTTTAATGTTTAGTTTGCTGTCCTTCCCCCGAACCTCTGATTAACACGGTTGGTTACGTACGGTGCAAAAGAAGACAACATACAGTGGTCCCTCGGTTAATTATATTAATTTGTTCCACGAAAAACACCGTTAATTGAATATAAGAAATACATGTTAAAGACTTAATTTGTTCGAAGAGGATCGGAAATTTACCTTTTTCACCATAAAAACATAGTTTATCATATTTAAACACGCTATTTTAATAAATACAGTTATTACAACATATTAAAGCATTCATATCAATAGAAACATTGATAAATAATGAATAAATAGGGCATAAATAAGTGCATAATTAGAACACTTAATACAAATTCTTACCTTAGGCTAAGAAGATGGATGGCTTAACAGGATGATGGAGAAGTTGGGGTTGGAGAAAATTGCTCTCAAAATTCTCAAAAAAGGGCGTCACTGATTGGCTGAGGTCTGCCAAGCCCACTTAGGAGCGATCCGTTTGTTACGAAATTGACAGGTCCACGTGATTATCGTAAACACATCGTTCATCGAAAATGTATCGTTAATAGAAACAATGGGGTTCCCTATGGGAGGCGGATCGTTAATTAAAATATCGTTAATCGATAGCATCATAAACCGAGGGACCACCGTACAAGCGTACATACTTGTGTCTTTGAGGTATGCGAGGGTTTCGTTGTCCCACGTTCTGTTTCCGTTTGGCCACAGCACGCACTTGTTCTTCAGGTTGCCCATGAAGAGCTGTTGCCCAATCAGAGCGAAGATGCTCAGGCAGAATATCGTGAGGATGATGACATCGAAGAGCTTTTTCACCGACTGGATGAGAGCCTTCACGATGGTTTTGAGACCTGTAAAGAAGACGTGACAACAAAAAATAACAAAGGGCCAAAAGTTAAAACGTTTTGAGTGCGGCGATTTACATTCGTGAGTATTCTCATATGTGAGTAGTAGTTTTTCAGATACTTAGCTTTTAAATTGACACACCAGGAAAGACGGAGATGGTTTTGAGGACACGAAGCACTCGGAACGTTTTAAGGGAAGACATTTTTTGTTTCGGATTCACATACGTCACAATCCTAAACAGATGACAAGAAAATAATATATATTAGAACAAACAATAACATATTTTTTTGTAAATTGCAAAGCGCTTAATCCTGAAGATGCCAAAATAGGCCAATACATTTAACCAATTGTACACGTGCATTTAAGACTAAAAACCTCACGACGTAATTCTTTCCTCTTAGTGACAGTTAAACCTTGTTGTCATGTTTAACTAACGTCTTCTTCACCATACAGGTTTACCGAAGCAACACCTTTATACTGGACGAGTAACCAGTGGCAGACTCTGCCCACTATTCAACTCCAGTACCACATTCCAAAGGAGGCACATCACTTAGTTGGCTGGTGATGAGGATCACATTTTTGTAAAGTGTTTAGCACAAGAACGATATCATCAAACTTTGCGCTGAACCTGCTCTAGAAGTGCAACTTATTAACCTCAGGACTGTAATATTTTGTGGTCCAAAGTCAATTATTTCAGTTGTTTTGTTAAAATACAAGTACAGTATAGCCTGGACAACTTATACTAATGTTATACTTTAACGCCTTTCAGGAGCAGTGTGGTTCGTAGAGTGTGAAGGCAGAGCCCCTGGGCCATTCTACTGGACGTGGAATGGCCCAGGACAATTCCTTGGCTGGGAAGAAAACTTGTCAGCAGTCGTGAATATAGCACAGTTCACGAACCACTGTAACAGCGCAGCTTCCATCTCCCTCAAAGCCCACACATAGAGAAGCAAATATAATAAATAGTCCGTACGTAAAGATCACCACAAGTAAGTCCAACCAGTTCCAAGGGTCACGAAGGAAAGTGAACTGCCCCATGAAAAATCCTCGGGCCAGGACCTTGATCACCACCTCCATCATGTATATGGTGTTCATGGTGTACCTGGAATTGTAAGAAAATACATCACATTTGTCAAGGACATCTGGAGTGGGGGATGTTAGACAGTTATCTAAAAGAACACTCAAGTTTCAAGTTAATTAAATACATATTTAAGAGGAGATAATGTTCCACCCGAGATTAAAGGGCATAATGGCTAATTCCATTAATCTCACTACCACCTTGCAATTGCTTACTTTCTTCAGATAAATCAAGTAGTAAAGTATTTAAAGTTTTCTCTTTAAATATTCCGCAATATGGCTATACATATACGTATACTCCTAGTTGAAATATTGACACGTCCTTCAAGGACCACTCACGCGTCTGACCATCACTAGGTTTTCCCCTTGGTCACTGATGTCTCGATGTCACTCAATGCCTGTCTCGGTAACTTCCCCTCCCCCACCAGATCCACATGTCCCACCCAACACAACCTCCTTTATTTCATTACATCTACGGCACTTTGCTGCGATGTTCTATTCGAAAACTTCCACATTGTTATCTCTATCCTGCCTTGGCATTTCTGATATTCCCCACCGTGCATCTCGATTTCAGAGGCTAAGAGGTTATGTTCTAGTTGCTTTGTTAAAGTACAATTATCTCACCCAAACGGTAACAAACATTACTTTTAACTCAAACACCCATCTAATAACCCTAAAGTTGACATCTCCTTTATTCCAAAGTGGCATATTCAGTCGATGATAAAAACCCACCTTGTGAACGCAGCATATAAGTACAGTCTTAACTTAATGTTGCTTTGTTGCATTTGCAATCATTATCATTCATTCTGGGTTAATTATATTAACTTCAAGATATATGAATGTTTCGTGCACTTTACCAAATGCACAAACACTTACACTAAAATATCCAACTTCTAACAACCAATGTGTGAAACAGGATTACTTTATCAGGGTTATCTGTACCATCGTGTAGAGACAGTGCAGCAATGGTAAAACTCACTCCACTGGAACGTAATCTTTGTCCATCGCCATGAACACGCAGTTCGTTAAAATAGTCCCAACGATGACCATGGTGAAGGCTGTGCGACGGCAGTCAAGGAAAGGGGTTACGCTTCATGGAGGAGATGGTGGTAGGTGACACCTGTGAAACTTTGGGATTATTACTGTAGTTTGCCGGCCCTAATCCCATGGTCGAAATGCCATAACCCCATGGTGGAGGGCAGCGTCTCTATAGGGCAGCCACTGCCGGCTCGTCAAGGTCGTGCTAATTTTATTGGCCTGCCCCCGCCCTGAAATATGTTGAGCTGAGTAGACCTCGGCAGGTATTTTCAACCTTAAAAATATGAAAGGAGTCCTGTGACCAAGCGCTATGTAGCCTCCAATAGGTTCTGTATGATCAGGGATTTGCAAACTCCAGTCCTCGGGATCCACTGCGTCAAATCTGTGCATGTTTACCAGTCTTCTACGCTTAAATAAATAAGTTGTCACATACTCTTTGGTTCTATTCGGTAAAGTCACGTAGGTAAAAAGTAAAACAACAAAAAATCACGACGTTTCGGCCACAACACAAGCGGCCTTCATCAGGTGAAGGGACCAGACTGTCTCGAGGACAGCGCTGGAGTGAACACAGCCAAGCTCAGACCGCGACCTTTAAGCTGTGTGAGAGGAATTAAGGTGCCTTGACAAAGGAATTAGCATAAAAATTAGCATTTAATTGGCGGACTTAGCATGAGCGGTGTAGAGGGGGTGAACATGTGCAGGTTCACCCCCTCTACACCGTTCATCATGCTAAGTCCGCCAATTAAATGCTAATTTTTATGCTAATTCCTTTGTCAAGGCACCTTAATTCCTCTCACACAGCTTAAAGGTCGCGGTCTGAGCTTAGCTGTGTTCACTCCAGCGCTGTCCTCGAGACAGTCTGGTCCCTTCACCTGATGAAGGCCGCTTGTGTTGTGGCCGAAACGTCGTGATTTTTTGTTGTTTTACTTTTTACCTACGTGACTTTACCGAATGGAACCAAAGAGTATGGATCCTTGCAGTCACGAAAGCTTCAAATCTAGAAGTTGTCACGTGCTTGATCATATCTAAACACATTCCATGTGGTCTAACTAGGTACGCCCACTATAACAGTGGAAGTATGGCAGACGCATCTTATAGATGACAAGCCAATGTTCAGTGGGCAGATCAGTTCTATGGTAGGTCCTGGTCTTAAGGACATGGGCCTGCATTTGCTGTTCCGTCACTATATAGTCGATGTTCTTACTTGGACCCAGCGTGCATTCATGATATGTGCATGTTCTGATGCTGAAAAAGTTTGTTGGTGACTACAATCCCATGGGCTGCAGAGAAGTTTAGCAACATCCTATCATTATTGAGCTGATCAGCCCATATTTTACAATCACTCTGGGCCGTATCATCACCCACTTGGGCATTAAAGTCACCCAACAAGATGACTAATCCCTAGAGGCTACTTTAGCTAGCATCCGTGACAAGTCATAGAAGTCATCCGACTGATCAGCCTTGCCTGCATCCTTCCACTGATGTTCATTTTTGGTGGGGGTGTAAGCCACGACCACCCCATTCCTCACTTATAGTTGATGGGGAGGTGAGCCCACAACATCTTCCCATACCTCGCCTCTATGCTCCCATTCCCCATGCATTATTTTGTTCATAATAACCACTCCCTGTTGTTTAGCAGTCTCCTGCCCTGAATGGAGGACTGTCCATCCCCCAGAGGTGTAAATGGTACCGGTCCAGCTTCTAAAAGAGGAATGGTAGCCTCTCCTCCACAGTGAATGTTTTGGTTATTAGCAAAGGAGATTCAAGTGGAGGGGTTACCAAGCCCTCACACAAACTAATATAAGCATATAGCAACAAAATCACGCAGACTAAAACACGCAAAAAACAAAGTTCATCCCGTATAACTTTCATCAGACTGCAGAGGCAAGAAATGTTTGCGGACACTTATGAAGACTGGCATGACACATGAGGAGATGGGTGGCCAGCACCACGCCCGGTCACCTTTGTCTCCTCAGTGGCGATGTTTACACACCGCACCAGGTACTCATTTGAGGCTGAGTCGACCTAGGGGAGGCCCAGGACCGGTTCAGATAATCGTCAATGATGTTGGCCGTGAGCGGGTATCAAAGCGCAGCGCGCTAACCGCTACACTACCGCTCCCCACAATATACACACATACAATCACATGTACTCTACCACACACACACCACGAAACATACGCATACAGGGACACACTGACACACAGATACACATGCACACATAAAAGGATATATGTGTATTAGGATCTTGATGGCAATGCGCCGCACGGGGTTAAATGGACTGAACAAATAAAGGGAGTTTGTCGCATTAAATCTGTAGATCCTCTTTTTTCTGTTCACCGCAATGAATGTCTGCAACACAGGCACACACGCACAAAGCTTTAACAGGGAGAGGCAATCATTTAAACATTGTGGTGAATGTGGCTGCTTTTTGAGAAAAAAACATGACGTGCAACATGTACGAATTGAAAACAAAAGACAGATTTTCTTACGCAGTATACAGGGATACCTCCTACAACACTCAATATGCGTTCTTCGTAAATGGAGCGCTGTATGAAACAGTGCTATAGGAGGTCATTATAACATGGTTCCAATGGAGATGCGTTTCCAACCACTATTTTTTTTTTACCTATGAGCGAAATGAGGGCTTCATTGTGGTATCGGTAATAGCCTTAATAATCATACTTGTACACAAGATAAATGTATTAAAGCATTTCAGAAAAAAATACTCATAATGCTTACATAAATAAATACAATCAGTTATTTACTCACCAGTGCATTCTGTCGGAGCTTGCGTAAGATTAACCACCGTCTGCCGTGAACACACGCTCCGCGGGTAGCTACACTAACCAATGGGATTACTCGATCTGTGGATTGCCGATGAATTGACGCAGCGATTAACCCTCTGTGAACCGATAATCTAACGTGGCTGTCAGATTGACTGTGAGCAGATCGATACAACAGACACCTCGATTCGGCTTCAACAAGACCATATGTGGGCAAAGACAGGCGCCCAATGGGTAACGCGGCGTCTATTCTCTTCCATGTGTGTGCTGATCCACGCAGGAATCGTCCTCCAGGACAAGGGGAAGTTTAAGGAAACAGCGCTATAGAAGGCAGCGCTATAAGAGATAAGCCCGTAACATTGCAAGCTATGTACAACCAGCCACTCGTATTTGCCCACCCACTGATCCTACCTAACGCTACCTCGAAACCCCACTTCGGGCATTCAAACAGGGCAACTCTTTCACTGTTCAGTTTTCAGTGTTGGTGCTGATAAGAGCCATTATCGGGTTTACAAGTAGTTTGAACTCATACGAATGGCACACCAGCTAATCACGGTATTATATTGATATTCGTCTCAGTGTGCCCATGTTAAAATGCAGCAAAAAAAACAAGAAAAAAACTGTAAATGGATATTACGGGAAAAAAACCTAGTTTTTTTCTCCGTAATATCCATTTACACGGGCTAAGATGTCATTGTTTTTTTTTTAAAAGAGCTTGCATTTGACAATATTATGTTTCTTGTATTAAATATCGGACATAGTACATGCAATGTAATTCATTGAACGGGCCTATGCCAACCACGCTACTCCGTTATGTTGATGATTAACTGCGAGAGCAGTCACTGGTGTAAAGGAAAGCCGCAAGATAAAAGGGACTAATCAATTTAAAATAAACACAACAAAGGTTGGAGATCAAAAGGATTTTTTTAAAAAAACGTGCAATATACAGGGCAGACTTATGCCAGTTTGGACAGGGAGTTCTGACTACACACGCAAGGGGTCCCGGGGAGTTTTTCACATGGAGCCGAAGATGCGAGGGTTTGTTATCCAAAGTTAATTCTGATACGTGTGTAATGAGCGACTTCCGAGGCACACTTGGGCACAAACACTGGGCGATACGTAGAAACGTATCTACATAGGTACCCACAGCCGACCTTTCTACACAGCCCCATCGTTGGCGTCTAACTATATAGCTGGCTGACTAATGATGACGATGGGAGCCATGCAGAGGATCGGCCATGCGGCCGGATGATGAAGAGAGATGACGGCGAGCAGCGACGCATCCAGGACCCCACGGCAGCCCCGAACCTGCGGTTACGTCTCGCCTATATACTTCCTTCTAAAGCCTTCCAGCAGGTTCCCGGAGCTTCGCGAATGACCCCGCCTTTTACCTTTAACCCAGACACGCCCCCCCCCCCCCCTTCTAGTTGGTTATTATATAACGCGCCCATACCCGTGATTACCCCTCCTGGCCGACAAGTGGCACCCTGTCATTACACATGTAAGAGTTGGTTTAGGTAGATTACAAGTGGGAAATTGAGTGAAGGAAGGTGACTGAAGAAGAGGCTACGCAGCTGAACTAGAGTTGACACTGCATGATTCTACTCTTCGTTCAAACGAGCAAATACATTTTTCATTACCAGAATTTCGACCCCACTGATGTCCTCTTCTCCCCCTCCCCCCCTTCCCCCATGAGTGCAGATACTACTGACTCTATAGTATGTAGGGTGTGGAGGCATTAGATCTACTGACACTATTGTTGGTAGGGTGTGGAGGCAGTAAATACTAAAGACTCTATAGTATGTAGGGTGTGGAGGCATTAGATCTACTGACACTATTGTTGGTAGGGTGTGGAGGCAGTAAATACTACTCACTCTGTTGTATGTACGGTGTGTAGGGAAATATGCCTACAAAATACGATTCTTTTTGGGGGGGTGGGGGGGGTCGACAATTGTTGTAAACCTGTTGGATCAACTTTTTACTCCCACATCTGGGCGGGGGGGGTCCACTTTCCATAACTTTTTGATTCAGGCCTCCTGAAAGGCTCATCATTTAGCTGACGGACTCACGCACAAACGGAATGCATAGGGCTTTTATTATAATAAATTGAAGGGTTTGTTTGTCCGTTACTCAATATCTCCTAGTATGTAATGATGAAAATGCAAACTTAAAACAAATATTAATTCTAAAACTTTTAAATTTCTATCAGGTCCCATGGTGTATAAGGGCTTTATAGCTCATGCAGTATATATATATTCTGATTCTGTAAAGTAGTCTCCAACTCATATCCACTACATCTCTCTCGCCTCTCTTCATCATCTTGGTCAGTGTGGGTTGGTGAATGGGGTTCAGGTACTAATACTTGCCAATGATTGGAAGCAATATACGAGAATCGAACTCGGGAACCGGATTCAAATGGAAGGGTGCTAATCACTGCGCCACCGCTCCACCCCATTGCTCTTTATAATTCACGTAAAATGTACTAAACTTTACACATTAGATAAATATTACATAAAACACTACGGCAGCACTAAAGATATTTGCTCATTTGGAAATATAACTTTCTCTATGTATGTACTTAGAAAACTTCCAAAAGTTGACATTATTTTCCATACACGAGAGAAACGGGCCTAAAGACAGAGTCAGCTGTCTGTTGTTTGGTAGCTGCGAGTATGTTTGCAGTGTACACTTGTTTTCAAACGAAAAGAAGTGCAGCAATATTATGAGCACGTTATGAACGTTACAGGCAATCGATATGGTCGTGCACGGGTTTATCAAGCCAACACCACGAGTTTGATTCCCGGCCACTGCTAACGTCAGTGTCGAGAGATATCTGAACAAGTCCTATAACAACCAGGCCACACCACCTGCGTGCTGACGTCTGGTCTTGCACCTAGGATTAACAAAGGGCTGTAAAGTGCAGAATGTTATTTTTGTTCACCACAAGTGATGCATGCACGCTGAACTTCTTTCGCTCCGTACGCAGCCAACCGCATTGATATGACCATCACTAGAAACCTGGATAAATGTTGTGTATCGAAGGTATTGGTCAACCGTTCCTGTAATATTGTTGGTCAGTCAACATTTCAATTGGTTAAATACAACGTTGACTGTACAGATTGACTCCACCAAACACATTCGCTCAATTCATGTTGAGTGTTGTCATCCTTCCCCCGCACACTCCCAATTAGCACGGTTAGCTACGTACGGTGCGAAAGAAGTTCATAATCCAAACGTATGACAACAGCAATTATTCACAACTGGCCGGTGGCCTCATCCTTGGCACTAAAACCTCTCTGCACTTGATTTGATTTCACACTAAAACTCAACAGTGAAGTTCAACCTCTGTAGGCCACCACCTCCTTCCTCTACATGCCCCTCCCCAACACTCCTTAGGCTCCGCCCCTTCCTGAATAATCCCATCTCTTACTATTCTGGCTCTGCGCCTTTCCTTTTTATGCCCCGCCCATTCTTGTTTAGGTGCTGCCTCCTTCTGTTTAGACTCTGCCCATTACCCCCCTGCCCCTCCCATGGGACACTCGGGAGAGGGTCCGTGCACGTGCAACAGGGGTAGGGGGAAGGGTCGAGATCGATTCCAGTTCATGGCCAACACCAAGTGGCGATTATCTGAGCCGGTCCTCGGCCTCCCCTAGGTCGACTCAACCTCAAATGAGTACTTGGTGCGGTGCGTAAACAACATCACCACTGGGCGGGGAGGTCTTTTGGCCACCCACCCTGTCGTGTGCCGTGCCGAACTTCATAGGTGCTCGCCAACAGCACTTGCCCCCAACAATCTGTTCAGGCTATACGGGGAAATCTCTAGGGCAGGGTCACCAGGGGTAGGGGTGGGGCGGCTTCTGGACGATCAAAATCCCTCTTAGAGCAAGACAAGAATAGACGAGGAATGCTCGTGCATTTTCTCAGGATACTCGGCCGGGAAGGATAGTGCATTTGGGGGAGGCGTGTCGTCAGCATGCACAAACCTTACTCAACGCTGTGGGATGTAATTGATGTGTGCATGTATGCAGAACTTCTTTCGCACCCCGCGTAACCAACCACGCTAATTGGAGGTGTGTAATCCCGCAGATGTTCTAGGCAATGCCACCGCCACGCACTTTCCCGTCTGAGCGTCATCCAGCCAAGAAGCTAGCCAGTCAGAAAACCAGCCAGCCAGCAAAACTTTTTTTTCATAATATAGTATTATATGATTGTTTAGTCCTGTATATGCCACCTATAGTGGATAGTGTTTGCCCCCTCTCACATGTGGGTTTTTGTCGGGCGCTCTGGTTTCCTCCCACATGCGTAAATCACTCATTGCTTTTCTGAAAACATCTTAACATGAAATCCCGATGCAGGACCCTCCTTAAAAAAAAACAGTCCTTGGACGTAGTGTGGCTCACAATAATGCGCAAGTCGATATACGTCCATTCGAACACAGCGTAGCTCAGTGTTCTTTACAAATTTTCATCATTGGTGAGGGCTGCAGACCGATGATGATGGGGTGTGTTTGCACATGTTGTGTAGTATCGGGGGCCGCACTAAAGGCCACCAATGGCCGCCAGTGGCCCGCAGGCCTTGCATTGAAGAACACTGGCGTAGCCAATTTAAGCTTCAATGGGGTTGATGCGTATCGTCTCTTATCGAGAGCAACAAAGACAACAATTTATGTTCATTGCGTGCTGCGTGTATGAAAATCAAGACTTTTAGGATACAAAAGGTGAGCTTAATGTGTTGTGAAAATCACGTGCAGTGTTGACATTCGGTCATGGCGAATGTTTGACCATACTGGGCCTCGCTGGTTAGTATGGGTTAGTGAACATAGGGAGGCCTTGAAACGGTTCAGATGGTGGCCGGTGACGTCGAACTCATATTTTACTGAGTTTATTGCCAAGTTATCTAACCACTGCGCCACCGAGCCCCGAGTTTCATTGTAGATGGAAAACGTCAAGCAACCCACGACTGTAATTGCCGCACAAATTCAACAAGAGCTGGCGAAGTGCTTTTGTTGGAATTTATTAAGTTGGATACTGGTGTCTTTTATGTTTAAAGCCACGTATCCTCAAAGCTCCTAAGGTCAACCATCCACATGAAGCATTGTCCTGCAACCTTAATATGGTCCCTCGGGTTCCAGTAGGACCACATTTGTCAATTTCCCCTCGTCGGTACAACATTTGCTGTATTCTCTGCACAACAAGACGCACGTATTTACCCTGTATCGTACTACATTAGAAAAAATCAAGTTTTGCTGGCTTGCTCGCTCGCTCCCTCGCATGCGGGCGGGGGCAATGCGCGTTGGTGACGTCACGGTACACGCTTACGTGATGACGTCACCTGCGTCCCAAAGCGTTGAGCCGAGGGCTCGTGCGCCTCCACCCACCCATCCACCCACCCATCCACCCACCCATCCACCCACCCATCCACCCACCCATCCACCCACCCATCCACCCACCCATCCACCCACCCATCCACCCACCCATCCACCCACCCATCCACCCATCCACCCACCCATCCACCCACGCCACACCCTGACCGTGTTTCCCAGTGCCAGTTTCTCACATCACATTTGGAGTGCGTTCTATAAACTTAATAGGCAGTTTAACACGTCGGCTTTCGTGACCAATATCATCCACGATAGAGGTTTTCTGGGTTAGATCGCGTAAATATACAAATGTGTCGCTAAAACCCGCCACCACCCGACACGGCCAACTAATGAGGGTTGTCACGTAAACAGAACGTGGGCAATTCGTCACGAGTACAGCCACACCGGTGTGCTGGAGAGCTCGAGTGACGAATTGGCCACGTTCTGTTTCCGTGACAACCCTTACTAGTTGTCTGTGTCGGGTGGTGGCGGGTTTTAGCGACACATTTATATATTTACGCGATCTAACCCAAAAAACCTCTATTATGGACTTAAAGGGCGTGTGACAATATATTAAACAAACTTAGTTACTACGCTTGGGGGTGAGTCTTACTTTCCAGAACGTCTTGTAATTCCGCCCCCTGTAATGATTCGTCATGATTTGGAGTCAGGATTCTATCCAGGGCATTTTTTTTATTTTCTCATTTATGTGTGGTGTCCGTTTGCTCCATTATCCTAACCGCCATATACGTAACAAAGACAAAGATCCCCCGTATAGCCTTAACAGACTGTAAGGGCAAGTGCTGTTAGCGAGCACCTACAAAGGCCAACACGGCACAACGAGGGGGTGGGTGGCCAACACCACGCCCGGCCGCCTTTGTCTCCCTAGCGGCGATGTTTACACATCGCACCAGGTACTCATTTGAGGCTGAGTCGACCTAGGGGAGGCCCAGGACCGGTTCAGATAATCGTCACTGGTGTTCGCCGTGAGCAGGGAGTCGAACCCGGGTAGCCAGGTTCGTAGTGCAGCACGCTAACCGCTACACCACCCCTCCCCATCATAGCAACACCCACAGCCTCACAAATAGAGACCCATAGAGTCGCATAGACACGCTGAGACTGGGAATGTGGAATGCGTTGGCAGTGGCTTTATCATCAGCACGTACTGCACCAGACAGGTGCTCACGCAGCCTACCCAGCCTCCCAAGAGGAGTGATCTTGTGGAGCCCAACGCTGGTGCATTATCCCCCACACGTTGCCTCTGCATTCCAATTATCAATTAGCCCAGCTGCGCGCATTATCACCTGAATCTGGACACCCTGGGGAGGACTCAGTTGGCCCTCCTCAACCAGGTGCCTCGAACCTCAGAGTCCTTCTCGATAAAAATAATAGTCAACACATTCGTCAATAACACTGTGACCTCAAAAGGGAAAATATAAATATACATAACATGTTTCCGTCAATGGCGCCTCTTCATAGAACATCAAAAGATATACATCTGACCTTCCAATCAGTGTTGCTCACTCTTCCTCCCCATGCAGATGTTAAAACTATCTCGCCTGGTACACAGGAGGACGTGAGTTCGATCCCGACCCTGACGCCTGTATATTTGGAGTTTGCATGTTCATAATAAAGGTTTTTGGGTTAGATCGCGTTATTTATAAATGTGTCGTAACCCTCCCCCACCCGACACGGCCAAGCAGCAAAAAAGTGTCACGTTGACGAAAGACAAATAGTTAACTACTTTATCCCACCGGTGTGTTAAAGAGTGAATCCGCAACATTTACAGTTTGAGTACGACGTTTCGCTGGTAATTACATCCATCATCATCGGGCAATTCGCCAGAATTGGCGAATTGCCCGATTCGCCAGGATTAACGAATTGCCCGATGAAGCTGGATGTAATTACCAGCGAAACGTCGTACTCAAACTGTAAATGTTGTGGATTCACCCTTCAACACACCGGTGGGCTAAAGTAGTAAACTATTAGTCTTTTGTCAACGTGACACTTTTTTGCTGATTGGCCGTGTCGGGTGGTGGAGGGTTACGACACATTTATAAATAACGCGATCTAACCCAAAAACCTTTATAATGAATAATATTGGTCGCGAAAGCCTACGTGTTAAAGTTTGCATGTTCTCTGTCTCTCCCTGCGGTCGCGTGGATTTTTGTCTGGGTCCTCCGGGTTTTCCCTCTAAATTTAGAATCTACGCGCGTTTACGGTATTTGGCCACGATAAATTCCACGCGACAAACCACTCCGTTAAGCTCGCATTTGTAGTGGCCAAGTCGCTTCTGAAAAAGAGCTATAGAGCTCAGTGGGCCGTACCTGGTAAAATAAAATTTTAAAAAATAGCTTTGTTTATAGTTGTAGTAACGACCCCGCACCCATCTCACCATCTGGTTCCTGTAGAAGGGATCCAGGTCTTCTAGGGGCTCCGAGATGAGCTCCTTGGGCACGTCCCCGTAGACGAACGGCAGCTTCCTCTCGGCCTCCAGAAAGCTGAGAGGCTTGAGTTCCTCCTCGCCAAAATCGAGGAGGCTCTTGTCTCCCGCCTCCTTGTTGGCCTTCTCCTCGGCGATCTGATCGGCGATTTCTTTGAGCGACTCCTTGCTGAGACGACGGAAAAAGCCGTCGGACAGAGGCAGCGCCAGTGACGATGCCATTGTCTTAAATGTACCTCGTGTCGACGTCCTTGCAGTGCACGCGTCTCAGCCCAGCACGGGATAACAGCAGCAGATCGCCGGTCTATCCCGCGGACAAAGGCAGCCCTTGCGATGACGAAGGGCACTCATTTGAGTCTCACCTCAACCACAGACTAACGATAGCTCCTCGTCTGTCAGACCGAGTTGGCGCTGGGTACTCATCTGCGCGACCTTGCTGCGCGCAAAATGTTTATGTGCGCTACGGTTTGGTTTCGGGCCGTTGTCGTTGTTGTGGCTGCGCTAGGAGCTGGTACTGGTATAGCGTGCTTCGTTTTTCCAACGGCGGTCACAGCACCACGGGAGGCGAGCTACTTGGTTCATCGATAATGGGTGTCGTGTATTTGTAGGTGGTAATAGCGAGAACAACGTTGAACTTCAGGGTGCCGCTCGCTGCCTTACGAGTGAAACCAATTACTGTCAGGGCCGTAATTTCCGAGGGGGAAAAAATCGCAACAATTTAAATTTCGGGATTTCTTCGAATTATTTGCGCCCAAAGAAATTTGTTTTTTTCTGACCTTTCTCGAGCATAATTAAGATGTGCGCCACTCAGTCACGATCGTCTATGTACGTTTGTATATTGCATGCGAATATAATATGTGTGTGTGTGTAAAGTCCTTGATGATTGTACCCGCGCCAATACCGAGGAGGAAATGTATTTGTGGAAAATGTTTCGTCTCAGTTTTCGGATGTATGCATTGCAGTTTTGGTGTGGAAACGGCTGTGTGTGTGTGTGTGGCGTGTGTGATGTGTGCGAGGTGCGTGCGTTTAATATTTTAAGTGTCCAAATCATGCGATGCACCAGCGTGCTCGTTCACGCGAGAGTAATGTCACATCGATGCCTTTGCTTTGTAAGAGACGGAGAGGGATCAATAAACCATGGGTGAATGCCACCTGCCGTTGCCTGCGCTCTTTTTATTTCTAGAAGAAGGGGACGAGAGGAAGGGGGAGGGACAGGAAAAAAGAAATAACCAACATTAAGAGTCATATAACAACACCTGTTTATGTCTGTTGAACTTGTTTCGCGCCGTACGCAGCCAACCGTGCTAAAACACAAAGAGCAACTCTGTATGTGTGTGTTGTGATTTGTATTTATCACGAACAGCCATGATCAATCCACCGATGGATGATGAGCCATAGCCGTCTCTCACAATCTTCCCGTTTAATAATCCATGTAATCGAGCACCTGCACACGAGTTTATTTCATCGCTCCATCTTCTCGGTGGTCTTACCTTCGGAAGCGTTCCATAATTTTTTATAATTATTTTGGCTGATAGACATTTTTTGCGTGATAGGCCACTTAGCTGAGCTATCATTTGTGGTCAGGTCGCTTCTGAAAAGAAGCTAATACCTCAGTGGGCTTTCCCTGATAAAATAAAGCTTAGTTTCGTTTTGCTTGTGTATTTTTTTGCCATTTCCTTACCATTCCTATACTTTGCACCAAGGCCGTAGCAATGGAGTCAATATTGGGGGGGACCAAATCTTCCAGGGGGTCTGGGGGTCCCCCCCCCCCCAGAAAAAATCTAAATTTGAAAATGAATTTCCTGCATTAAATATGAAAAAATTCACTAACACATAGGATGGAGTTATTTATTTATTTTTTGGAACAATGCCTAATCGTGTATTGTGTTACATTGCTGTTTTTTTCTTTTTTACTTCTTCTTGTTTCATTGAATGTAATGGCAGAGATTAGGGATTAATAAAGTACAACCGTAACCACAATCATAATAACAGAAATCTATTTTATAGCAATATATTGGGGGGGGGGACATATTGAGCATATTTGAGCATATTTTAATATATTGGGGGGGGATGTGTGTCCCCCCCCAATATATTATAATATATTATAATTACGGCCTTGCTTTGCACTCCTATCGTGTTTTTTAACGTTCTGACCCGCCCCTTCTGGACATTTGTGAAAATTAGCTTTAAAGCTCATTGGAGTCCTCCAGTGTATAAATACACATTCTGATTCTCCTGATTCTGACTCCGTCACTATTTGTTGACCATCGGCCATCGTCCCTTCTGGCGACAATTCCTACGAAAGCCCAAGCCAAGCCAAGTACGTGTATTAACCATTTTAATAATGGCATAGACCTCTTGACTTTTCCCTCATCCATGCTTTCCTGAACGGGCCCTGCCGTACTTCACCAGGTCGGTCAGTGCGGGTTTGAAGACAGCGAGCATAGACATCGTTGCATAGTACAGCACAACAATTAGCCCCGCAGTAACCCTGTTCTTACTGACGGCGGTCACATATTCAAGCGATATCCAGGCTCAAAGCCTGCTTAGCTTCCGAGATCTGACGGACGATTTAGTAAGTAGGCTAAAGCGTTAAATAAGGGCGTATTTTATTCATGAAAGCAACTGTTAACATTAACGTCGATGCCGTTTAAACCCTAATGGGGATAATTAAGCACGGAGCTAAAACCATCGACATCTGTTAAACATCCGTGGTTGTCCGCTGGGGATGTGTTTGTTGTACCTTTCTATATGTTTGCTTTGTGCTGAAATATATTGATGTACGCTGTGCAGTTTTTTGCTTAGCCCCCCCCCCCTCGTCACACAGCGTCACAAAAAGTCAGCCCCCCCTCAAATATGACGTCACAAAGCCCTGCCCCCCCCCCCAAAAAACATGCTTCAAATCGCTTTAAACTATTGTCATTGTAGTGCGTATTTAATGTGGCGCTGCACTCTGATGTTGTAGGAGAAAACATTTATTAAAAAGTCAATTTAATTAAGCAGAACGTTTTGTCTATATTTATATAATTTGCGCATTTTTATGTGACGTCACATTTCTCAACGCCCCCCCCACCTCGTTACACATCGTCACAAATGTCTGACCCCTCCCTCCCAGGTACGTGACGTCATTTATGGACGGCCCCTTACTGTCCAAGCCCTCCGTTGCAAGGAGTGGTTTTGTGACTAGGTACCGCTTCGCCTGATGACAACGTTGAGGATGGTGATGATGACAGCGTTAAATAAGAGGCCCGTTGTAACAACAAAAAAAACGAAGTTTGGGAATAGCGTCTGTGCGTGCGTGCGTGTTTTGTCTTAACGTGCACCTAGCCTGGCACAAGTGCCGTGGTGTCGTCACCACCACTTGGTGGCGAACGACGGTTGTTGTTGTTGTTGCCCGAGTGTGTAAATGTAACCATTTGGAGAGACAAAGTCGCCATGGCGTTATTCTGGCCCACATCAACCCCCGTCCGTGCGCCGTTTCCGCTTTCATAGGTGCTCGTTGGCAGCACTTTCCACTAAGTCTGTATAAGGCTGAACTAACAAGGCGATGTAAAACCCGGCAATCTCAGTCGATATCTGGCCACGGCCAACATCAGTGGCGAGTGATGTCCGAGCCAGTCCTGGTCCAGTCGTGGTTCACGTTTCAGTGCTGGTCACCCAAATCCCCTTCACAAACTCGCGCTGGTCAAACAACAACACGCGTGACCTATACGACGTGGGGAGGCCTCCATCCAGCAGCTGATTTGCAAAACGTTTGCCATTTTTTTCGTGATAATATTTCGATTGTGTATTTATTGCGAAACGTCGTGAGCGATTAAATCAACTCGTGTACAGGTGCGAGGCAGATAGATTGTTGCTTCACAGGTTGGCGAGGTTGGGCGAGGATAATATTACGAATGATGATAAAAGGTTTTCTCCTTTTATCTGGCAACAAAACAGGTGTTGAGATATAAAAACATGATAATTTATCGTAAAATATCACAAGGTTTTATATATATATCCCACAGACGAGATTACGCTGATAATTTCATCCAGATTTGCAAGTGAAATCTCTGTGCCCGTTAGAGGGCATGAAAGGGCACACTTGCTATTAATGTGGGAATTTGTAACTAATGGAAAATAAATAATAATATGAAGAGAGAAGAAAAGAGCGCCGTGCCCCGTTGCCAGATTGAACACGAGACAAAGATCCCCCGTATAGCCTTCAGCATACTGTAGAGGCAAGTGCTGTTAGAGAGCACGTTTTGGACACGAAGACAAAAAAAGACAGATCTCCCGTACAGCTTTAACAGACTGTCGGGGCAAGTGCTGTTAGCGAGTAGCAGCACCTATGAAAGCCGGCACTGTGGTACACGAGGGGGTGGGTGGCCAGCACCACGCCCGACCGCCTTTGTCTCCCCAGTTGGCGATGTCTACTCACCGCACCAGGTACTCATTTGAGGCTGAGTCTACCTAGGGGAGGCCCAGGACCGGTTCAGATAATCGTCACTGGTGGTGGTGGCCGTGAGCGGGAATGGAACTCGGGTGGCCGGGTTCGTAGCGCACCGAGCTAAGTGCTGCAATTACCGCTCCCCACGGACACAAAGGTACACGCGCACACGCACGCGTTCAACTCTGATTTGCCGAAAAATTGCGGGTAATTTTCTAACAGTGGCAAATTGGCCCGTACGACTCGGGGACTCGGGCGACGGCACACTTTCTCTTTGCGAACCCAAGATTGACGGCTTCCCTTCCTCGCGTCCCCCCTTCCGATTAGTGGCACGCACATGCGTGCGAAGCGTTACGCAAAGGCCCGCTTGCATCATCCCAGTGGGTTGTCTGTTTTTCAGAAGCATAACGCCTGCTCAGATGGCGCTGGCAGGAACAGGTTGGGGTTACGCGCCGTTAGGGGGGGGGGCTCATTTGAAGGGTTCATATTGGGAAGAACTCCCCATAGTTGCTGGTTTAAAAAAAAAAAGCTATAAGCTTGCGTGCGCCAATTCTAGATTTGAAATTTTCGTGACTGCAAGGATCCATACTCTTTGGTTCTTTCGGTAAAGTCTCGTAGGTAAAAATTTAATAAAATAAAAAATCACGACGTTTCGGAGGCAACACAAGCTTCCTTCATCAGGTGTAAAAAAAATTGTGTTTTACACCCGATGAAGGAAGCTTGTTTTGCCTCCGAAACGTCGTGATTTAATTTAGTTGTTTTCATTTTTTGTTTCGTTTTATCTAAATTTTTACCTACGTGACTTTACCGAAAGAACGAAAGAGCTTGCGTGCGCCAGTAAATATTCATCACGATCGGCCTTTGTCAATCAACTGCTCCCCGTAGATGCGAACGAGTCGTAGCTCGTAGAAATAGAGGTGTATAATTACGGAACTGAAGTCCCTTTACAAAATCACTACGGCTACGAAAATCCCAATGGTATTGTTCCTAATTATGCTGCCAATTATGCACACTCAAGGAACAGGGTCATTTGTATTAGGCGTATGTGGATTCATACGCCGTTATGTAAGTCAAGCTATACATATTTCATCGGCGGTGCGGTTTGAAGGGCCGAAAGCATTCACAGTAAACTAAATAAAACGAAGACATGCGGTGACACATTTGAGAATTACCCCTCTTTTTTATAAACAAACATATGCGCAGTACGTATACGGCTATACGTACGTAATCGCGTATATAAAAAGTGCATCGCGAAGACTCACCAAATCGTCGGCAGAATCCCAGAAACTGTTCGACACCTCGGATTCTCCGTGTCGAACATCCCATGCGACTGGGTGGAGACGAGACCAATGCACAACGCGCACACACACACACTCGCGCGCGCACGCGCACGTGTACAACGGACGTGTACGTACGTGTACTCACCCCGCGTTCCGCATACTCCAGTGGCCGTGTGAAATCCCAGTCACTGTGAACACCAAACATCCAAGCTGGCGGGCGCCAGCAAGCCGTCGAGACAACGGCTTATATCGGCGCAAGAGGCTCAGGGCCGACACATTATAGCGGCAACTAATGGAAGAGGTTGGGGTTCGGGTGGGGTGGTGGTGGAGGTGGGCGGCTATAGTAGATGGAAATTCGAGGAAGAGCTCAGCTCATTCGCAAGGGGGTGGGCTCTGCTGCCTGCGATGGGAGCTCGTAGACTTTGCTTGCCTCGCGCCCGTTAGCGAGAGGGAGTTTGTGATTGGCGGCAGCCCCTGGATGCGCGCAGATGAACCGGGGGGCGTCTGGGGTGGGGGGTGACTAGGGGATGTTTAAGCTGCGTGGGGAGGGAGTGATGGGAGGTTGAGTGAACCAAGATGTTTAATGGTGGTGGTGGGAAGAGCTGGATAGACTGGGTGGTTACTTCGCAATCGGATCAACTCTGAACGCGCGCGAGCGTCGTCGCATGATGGGAGCTCAGCGAAACTGAGCCATTTTTTTTTACATTTCTGTTTGGATGGACGACTGCCTGAGAATGTCAGGTGTAAGGGTATGCTTGGGCTGCAAGGTGTTTGCCAGTGGATGCAATCGAGCGATGTGTGAATGAGACTCGAGTGGTATCTCACTCAAAACGCGTGGTGGGATTTTCTCCGGATACTCCGGTTCCATCCCACATTCCAAAAACACTCCTGAACGGGATTGGCCAAGCATCCCAATGCAGGAGCCGATTGAGCAAGGACTCTCGACACTCTTTGAGGTCTGTCCCGGGATAAATTAAGTGTCGTATTACTACTGCAGTGACGCATGTGCGGGTTAAGGCCAGAAGTCACGTGCTTTTTAATACAATATCGTATTTAAAAACTGCACTCGACTACAAACCATTTCGGATCATGAACATATATACATAGTACGTACACGTATATGACAGTTTGGTGCATTAGTAGTTGGCACAGATGCTATCTGTGAGTCAATACACTAATCAATAATGATGCTTTCTTCATACGGATAAAATAACGTTACGTGGAAAGGTTTATGAAGATTAGGCGCATGTAATTACATTTATGCACATGTACTGCCCCATATACCAATACACTGCGGGATGGGTCGTGGGGGGAGTGTTATGTGACCATACATCACCACGCTCGTCAGTACGGGTTGATGAAGGTGCCACGACACGGCGTATAGAAGTACAGTACAACAATGGATTTTACTGTGCGATGCTGTGCCGACGACCAAATAGCGCAGCATGCAGCCAGCCAGCCAGCCACAGCAATCACGTTGGATACTCATCCAAGCTCTTTCCAGGCTCAACTCTGCTAAGCTTCCGAGATCTGATGAGATCGGATGGAATGCCGGGGCGCCACGGTGGCGAGATGTTACCTACCTCGCCTGGTGTACAGGAGGTCGTGGGTTCGATCCCGACCCTGACGCCTGTTGCATATTTGGAGTTTGCGGTGTCTCTCTCCCCGTGGTTGCATGGAAATTTATCCGGGTCCTCCGGTTTTTCCCTCCATATTTAGAATCATGCGTTTAGAGTATTTGGCTGCTATAAATTCCCACATGATAACAAGCCACTTCGTTGCGCTATCATTTGTGGCCAGGCCACTTCTGAAAAATAGCTATTTAGCTCAGTGGGCCTTACCTGGTAAAATATAAAATAGTTTCGTTTTTATAGATCTGGTCATTTGAATATGACTTCAAGAAAATCTTGACTTCCGCCGATTTCCATGGGCCGCTGAAATGCTGAACGTAAATAATTTCGCACGTATGTTATTTTTTTCAATTTCACTATCTCCGGCTCAAATATGCGGCAATCATTTAGTTTCTCTGCGCAGAGAAAGAATCAGTGGCAAGGAGCATTTATCCACTCCAAACAATCCAGAATTCACCACAGGGTTGGGGCTAAATGTAAATACATTACGGGGTGGGAGAAAAAATAAATGATAATGGTTATCTCTCGCTGGCGAGTCAAATACAAACATCGTTAAAAAAAATACATGCGTTTATCATGATCAGCCATGGTCAATCCACTGCTGGATAATGCCCCCGGCTCCTCAAGCTGACAGCTGTTTGTTTCTCTTCATCTGACAAAGTCAAATGCAGACATAATTTGAAGTGCATACATTCATAATGAATTATTAATAAAGAATTGCCCATTCACTGCTAGATGAAGGCCACCACGGCGCCGTGACGGTCATGAAGGTTTCTTGACCATACTTCATCGCGATAGGTCAGTGCACGTAGGTAACAAGGCGGGGGGCGGGGGGCGCCCCTGATCTTAGACGTGGACCGATATCGAACCCAGGTTGCCGATTTGGTAAGAAAATTGAATAAGGGCCCCGGCGAAGTGCTGTAGGTGGGATAAGGAGTATGGGTATGGTCAGTGAAATGTTGAGTACCAGTAGCTGGTACTAGTGGCTGGTTCACTAGACGGGTACGCTTTGGGGTAGACCGAGCATGCGATTGGCTCGAGTCCGCTCCAATGTTATCGCCTCGTCAATTTCTGGCTGTTTCTCGTTCCCGTTGTTCATGGCGGCCACACAAAGCCAACACACTCACCCCTTCCGTTCACATGATTATCTCTCAGTCAAACGCATGCGAGTTTACACTGCAAATCGGGCAAACTGTTCCATCCTATTAACATCCGCGCTCGTATAGTTACCCGGCGATGACGCAGAGTGCGCACGAGAGAGCCCCTTGTTGAATTTCCACGCAGGGTATAATGGCCCGATAACAATTCGGCCACGCAAATTACACGCCAGTTTTGTTCTGACCGATGCAATTGACCCCCGCGCGAGGCTGACATTGGGCCCTTTTTTGTTGGTGTGCTCTCGTCAACCAAGTTGCAACAAAGGCCACTCACGTCCACACGCATCGTGTAGACCCCCCCGCCACACACACACACACACAACGCCGCTCGGCCATCGCGTGACTGCCGTGGAGATCAACAATTGATAAGCGCACTCGGCGCAGCGACCGTTGTAATAGCCACCCCGCCTAGTTGGGATTGAACGCTTTTTTTTTCCTCCAAATTCAGGCTCTCTCGGTTCTTCTCTTCCTCCGCACGCGAGGGCAGACAAGCACCGTGCGCCCTCCTGATTCTTCGCTTCGACTTCATCCTCCCCCCACCCCACCCCCTGCTACTCCTCCGACCCCATCCTGTTCACTTCGTGAAATCAGAACGTTTGTTTTTCTGTCCGCGCGGCGGTGATGGTGGTGGGTGGGTAGGCTGTTAACCCTCGCACACCTGGCCAGCCACCCCACCCAAAGGCGCACGCGGGTCATGCGGCACATTGCGTGGGTGCGGTGGGGTCTCAGCAAGTGCACGCAATACAAACGTTTACCATTGCTATAAGGTTGCAAGTCATTTCGTAATCGGAGACTGTGCATTAATTTTAAGTGGATGAGAGCCCCCCCCCCCTACACACACACACACACACGCCTCCCACCCACCAACCCATTTCAGTTTTGATTAATTCCCATCCGTTCTTAAGCGACGTCACAACGAAAACCGGCCGTGCTTATTGAGTTGCATTCGCCGTTGTACAAACGTCTCGATATTAATATATATACAGTACGTTATTAAAGACGGCTCTTATAGCTCGAGTAACTTAACGTTCGTCATTTGCACTGCCTCATGACGGACAATGTCGAGTAGACTAACGTTTCAGGCAATGGTCCTTCGGCAGAAAAGACCGAGGGGGACGAAAAGACTGACTTTGTCAGTCTTGGCTTTGTCAGTCTGATGTCATTTTGTACACACGTTCTAGGTTCTTGCCGTGGCTTATAAAAAGACGTTCAACGTCGTATTACATAAAAGGGATCACCAGTAAGTCACCCTCTGTGAGTAAATCTACATCGTTGCTTTGACCCCGGTCTTCCAGACACGACCCCGAGAGGAGTGTACGGAGTATCACGGTGTTTGCATGGCAGACAGGGTTAAAAGGCGGCCGTAATGTGAACGTGTTCTAACATTAGCTCGCGTCAATGATACCGTCAGCAGTGCTGTTCGATGCTGGCCGCTTGGCGTGTTGACCTTTGGGCCTGTGCACAGCAACCGACAGGAGAACTAAATATTTAAATAACTAGGCGGACAGAAAACGCTCACCCGATAGGCAAAGGCGGATCGATTTACGTCAGCAATGTTGTCTCTCGCCTCTTTAACCAGGTTTGTTTAACGTGCGATCATTGTGTTTTAATGGAATGGAGAGATTTCCCCCCCCACCCCACCCCACCGCAGTGTTTGCATGCATCGTGTCTGTGTCCACCTATCTATCTATAGGCACCGGGCAGGTGTGTTTGGGAATATGGGCATCTGTGTTTTGTTAACAAACTCGCGCTGCTTTCTGGACCGAGTTTGACAGCTCCCCGAGGCGTCATCTCGGTGCTCGGGGACAAAACAGGAGGTGGGGGGGGGACATTGGCCCCAAACTCCATAAAGGGCACCCACGAACAGACACTAAAGGGTAAGTAACATTCTGTATTCAGAAAAGTATGTATGTTGAACTTCTTTCGCACCGTACGTAGCCAACCGTGCTCATCGAAGGTGCGGATGACCGCTTAATTGTATTGTCGTTTAAATATGAGCAATACACGCCGAACCAATACTGTCGATGAGCGTGGTTGGCTACGTACGGTTGCGAAAGACGTTCGACATACAGAGCTAGATACGTAATACTTTTACCTAAAGTGGAACTGATAAAGGTGCAATCCTGAAATTGCTTGCTTATACCACTGCTTGCAGAAGGGCCTCAACTCGAGGGAGCTCTAGAGAGCCGCTCTACGCGGGAACCTTTGGCCTACTCTTCCACGCTGGTCAGACATTTTACCAATGGACGAATTGTGCTCCCTTTACTGCTCATGATAACGGGTTTTTTTTGGGGGGGGGGGTTGGAGGGGCTATATTGTTACATAACCCCCCCCAAAAAATAACTTTCTCGTGAATAATATTGGTCGCAAAAGCCTACGTGTTAAATTACCTTCACTCCCTTAATGTGTTGTCTAACGAGGGGGGGGGGGATAGAGGTGTTCAGATGGGCGAAGGGGGTGGCGGGGTTGGTGGTATTTTCTGTTTTGATATCCCGAGAGGGGGCAAAGACACTTCCTACATCTGGCCCTGCGCGCAAGCGAGTGACACTGAAGCTGGAACCGCCTCGTGGCATCGGAACCCCCCACCCCCCCCCCCCCC